GGACAGGTTCGTGCCGCAGAGCACAGTGATTACGGATCTATCACACTTCTGTTCCAAGATCGTCGAGGAGGGCTTCAGGTTCGGAGTCCCAAGGGCACCTTTGTCGATGCTACGCCTATCGCAGACACAGTCGTGGTCAACGCTGGAGACCTATTAGCTCGGTGGTCCAACGACATTATCAAGAGCACTCGCCATCGCGTTGTCGAGCCTCCATGTATCGCAGGTGTCGACGCAGATGACGGCTCTGATACATACCCGGCCCGATATAGTATCGCATACTTCTGCAATCCTAATATGAACAAGTTTATTGATGTCCTACCGGGGACATTCGGGGAAGGAATTAGCCAGAAAAAGAAATACTCTGGAATTACCGCCGGAGACTATCTTGTGCAACGATTGACAGCAACCATCTAGTCTGACTCTTAATATTGATGTATATCTCCAAATGAGTCATATTTACATTTAGCGTTCTTCTGTATCTCGAGCAAGACTGACCACTAATCGTATGAGTGAGTTTCTTTCTATGCGAAGGTTGATATGGACTAATATAAGCTACTCATTTACAGCGCAATGACTGATCCCCTATGCCCCTTTGGTATCTGATACCTGGCCTACATGTGTAAAGTGCTCTGCGCTTCCCAGCGCTCTAATACGATGCCGGATGAACTGCGGTTCGTCCTCCATCAGTGACGATGATGCTACCATTCATGTACCCACCGGAAGCACTCGCCAGCCAAAGAATCGGACCCGCGATGTCTTCCTCGCTTCCACCCCTCGTGAGGGGAATCCTTTCGCGCGGGAACGACCCGTCAGAAATGCCCCTATCTCCGCCCTTGAATGCTGACGCAGACATCTCCGAGTGATACAGGCCTGGCGCAATGCCATTGACTCTGATGTCGTAGGAGCTCAGCGTAGTCGAAAGCATCTTGACAAGATGATTCGTTGCAGATTTGGAAAGACTGTACGCAAAACTAAAGGGCACCTGCCGAATGAACCCCGCAATCGAACTGGTGATGATAACCTGCGCAGTCGGCGGGGAGAGCTTATCCTTCTCAGGTGCCGGTCTCCTCTTATTTTTTGCCTCAAGAAGAGGCAGGAAAGCGAGAACAGTGTAGTATGACCCTGTGACATTGATGTCGAAGACCTTGGTAAATTCCTCCATGGGTACAGCCCATAGCTGATCACGGACTTCCGAGAGACTTGGTTTTGACCCGTCCTCCTTTGCGGCTGGAGGGCGAGCAGAAGGACCCATCACACCGCTGTTTGCGATCAAGAGGTCGACATGGTCTGTCTGAGATGCGATGGAGTCGTAGGCCGCCTGTAGTGATTCCTTAGATGAGACGTCGCCCTTGATCGGTATGATTGTTTGGTTGACTGAGAGGGATGCAGTCTCTTGTAGCTTGTCTTCGCGTCGGCCAATGATGAATACCTTCGAGGCACCGTTTGCATCGAGCGCAAGGGCCATTGTACGCCCCAATCCTATTGAAGGCCGTGTTAGTGCTATAGGACATTCCTCCAGATCTACGAACGCAATCGAGTGGCTGTGGCGGACAACAAACGACAACGCATTTCACGAAAAGGGATCGTTGTCTTCAAGGAGTCTCACCACTTCCAGCCCCGGTCACAACAGCAACACATCCCTGGATGGAGAACAATTCCGAAGCTTGCAGGTGCGACATGGTGATGATGACGAAGGGACCACTGAGAGCACTAACAATAGCGGAATGCAATATCGGGTACAAGTACTGTTAAATTTCTACAGAAAATGATGGAGTTGCTCTAGTCACATAAAAGCAAGGTGTTTTATGACATTCCGCAGTGAGGAAACAATCGATTTGTCCCTTTTAGAGGATCTGGCGTCATACAAGACCCCCGCATCTCGCAAACATGGCCGATGTGGGGAAATCCCACACTCCGGCAATGCTCCTTGATGACTTTCTCCTTCGCTAAAGCTAGGTTATCCAGGAAACGGTGTCCAAGCGTGTTCTTGGAGCTACGAGTGAGATAAGCAAGTAGAATCTGCTATGCGTGAGAATGATGGTCGCATCCCAGGTTGACGAGGCCAGGGATATGTATGAATCGACACCAACAGCCCATAAAACTCGAGTGACCCGAAGCATGATGTGACAGATATTTACAGTCCATGCTTCAGGTCTTTCCGAAAGACTCAGATCGGAAAGCCGGAAAAGCCAGAATGCTTGTCTGAACCCCATATCATGCAAAAATCATCTCTTTCAGATAATCAACCAAGCTTCGCATAGAACGAACCCCGACTAAGCCAAAGCTCCACTCCAATGCTAATGAGTATCTATTTCTGAATCATTCATCCGAGAATTCGGCGGCTCAATCAGATTCTGGGTGAATTTTCTCCTCGGATGACACTTCCTTTAAGCCCACTTTGGTGATCTTGATCCCACGTCATAGTAACCAGGAGATCCGCTACATCCTCTTTACTGTGGACATGCAACAAACGGGATCAATTGATAGGATCGGAATATCGGAAGGGTAACCTGTTATACAAAGCATATCTTTCGCGATACATGTCATGACCCGTGAAGACCTGATGTTGCAGACGAATCCCAGTATCCCGTGCTGCTCCTGGTTGCGGACCACCGATTGCTCAACGCTTGACGAATCACGTATGCTGTCTACAAGTTCCGAATCTATAACGAAATTCAATTTGAGAGCTACGAGGGAATCTCAGACCCGGAGCTATACAGCTACTCCAACGTTCCACCATGAATCATTCGTTCATGGTTGACCGTAGCATTACGACACGCCTAGATGTTGACTACCTTAGCACGAATCGATGTCACTAAGGTATGGTACTTGGTGTGCGATCCTCAGGAACAGAAACTCCGATGCTGATTTGGTAAATCGGGAGACAAACCAAGTTATGACGCTGGAAAGATGCTATGATAGCAGCCCAGGTCTGGAAACCTCAGCAACATGAGTGACAGCGTCATGTCTTGATCACAAATTAGTTGCGTCAGTTGCGAACCCCCTGGCTCTGACCACATTTTTAAAGGCAGGTTGGCCCTCGTATGTAGCTTCGCAACGCTGCACTCTGGGCGCCGGAAAGGTTCCCTAGCACATCACTGGGTAGCATCTCAATTGCCTTCTGGATGTCAGGAGGATATCACCCTTTTTAACCATCACTATGAATTGGAGACACTTTCTGCTCATCAACGTGCTGGGTGGGCTACCTCCCGCCCTCGCAGTACCTAAGGTGAGGAGAGCCGATGGCCCTATTTCAGTGCCACCTATTGTGAGCCACCCGACCTCGTTACCGCACTCTTCCTATACCGCGACTCCCACGACCAGTGGAGCCGAGCGTGCCAGCTCTGTTGGTTCCGGGATCCCGACTTTGGGACCGGCTCCAGGAGGTACCAGCTACCCAAGCGATGGAAAGCTCCATGACCCCCAGCCGGCTCCTTATACACCAGCAGGCGGCGTTGGGACGAACGGCACAACTCCTATCTACAGCGCAAAGAGCGACTTTGATTATGAATCACTGGTAGGGCTTCCATCGATTAGCTGGGAGGACAGTAGCTGACTGCTGCCAGTCCCTTGTGCTCTACCAAGAGTACATCGAGCTGGACCTGTTCCACGATGGTCTGGCTCGGTTCTCTGTAGCGGAATTTACTGCCGCTGGTCTCACGGCAGAAGACCGATTCTTGATTGAATTCATGGCTGACCAGGAGGCTGGACATGCAACAGTGCTGGCCAACATCCTGGGTGCTCAGGCTCCTAGACAATGTGTCTATAACTATCCTTACGCCACAGTTCATGAGTTCATCGACTTCTGCCAAAAGCTCGCCCGCTTTGGAGAAGCTGGTGTCTACGGCTTCTTGCCTCACTTGGATTCACGAGAGGTAGCTGGCCTCTTGACCCAGTCTGTCACCACGGAGGCTCGTCAACAGATGATCTTCCGCCAGTTTGAAGGTCTCTTCCCAATGCCTGTGTGGTTCGAGGTTGGGGTGCCTCAGTCCTGGGTATGGACACTGTTGGCTCCGTATATCAGCTACTGTCCTGCCAACCAGACGAGACTGGCATGGCAGAACTTCCCGTCATTGTATATCGAGAACCAACCAAATCCTTACCGGGTCAATGGATCGTCTTCGGTCAATGAAACACTTCCAGGTGGTGGCATGAACACTCTGGCCAGCCGGAACGTGACCGGACCCGAGTCATGTCTGAACAAGACGGCCGTGGGCGAGAGCTGCAGCCCCGCAATTACCCATAATCGAACAAGCCCCCTCTCCTACCCGGGCCGAACAGTCACGCTGTCGTGGGACGCTCCGGGCAAGCGTGTGGGCCCGAACAACAGCTACATCACGAACACAACTGCGGGATCCCCGAGTTACGTCCTGTGGGCTTCTCAGTTGAACGTCACGTACTCGACACTAAACACCAGTGGCAATTCAAGCTATGGAACGACCATTCAGCCCGACCTGTCGACATATGCCGGCGACCCAGCGCTCAACGGTACCATCTTTATCGCAATCACGGACACTGATCTTTTCGTGACTCCGTTCAACATCAGCAGCGTCAACACTCATATAGTTGCCGGCCCAGCTCTTTACCAAGCTGGCTAAGCTGGTCCGATCGAGCGTGGTAGAATGAAGCATGGAGTGTTAGACTATATATCTTGAAGTTCTGGCCGATCATGTAATTGTCAAAGGTAAAGAGAAACGGGGATGATGCGTCTTGAGTCTTCAAAAAGTCATTGAATGATGGATGTTCCAAGATATGTGCTGTTCTTCTAGTGGCTACTTATACATGAATACTACTTGGTGAGAGTGTGAGAGCGAGAGTCCGGTATCGTAGGCAAGGTAGACATAAAACGGTAACCCCGCTAACTCCGAGGCGATCCCGTCGTTTTGCTAGCTTTTTGATTCCTCCATCAACAGATGCCAAACCCTTATCCTATTCTTCACGAAGACCATCATCGACGAATCTACAGCCTTGCGAACCTTCCGAGTAGCATCATAACCAAGATGGAGGGTCCTAGGAATCGAAAACAGCGACGAGCAGCAGCAGCAACAGCAACATCCGCAGCTTCCGCCCCTGACTCCTCGTTCGATCCATCTTCGATCCCCTTAGCCCATCCTCAAAAACCTCCCCGCGACAACGTACCGAGAGGAAAGACGTTGGTGGAACTCATTGCTGAAAGACAAAATGAGATCTTGGGCAAGGAACAGAGGGATACTGCAAAGTCAGGTCCAGAAACGCAATTCATGTCCGTGGATGCGTTATCTGGCAAGATTTCCCAGTTCGATCCTTCAATGCTTTCTAAGGAACAACGCGATGAGGGCGACCGGGCAGGACCAGCGACCGTGAACTCGCAGATCGAGCCGGGCACAGCTGACGACGGTGACGATGCACCGATTCCCCCAGTAATCGACACGGTCCTACTCTCCGTACCACTGACGACATTACACCTTACACTGGCCTACCTGGCGGCTCACCAATACGCGGAAACGATCGAGTTGGAAAAGCTTCTGCGCGAGTCTGCATTTATTGCATTCCCCATTCTGACGCTGCTCGTCCATCTTGCTCATGGACACCTCGTATCCATGCATAGAGGGGATTCGAAGCAGGAGAAAGTCTCGCTCTTCCCTTGGTCTCAAGACAAGCTCACACTTTCATTCGTTCGGAAGTTGCTTTTTCCTCCGAGTCTGCGGACAATGGCATTTTTACCTGTTGCCGTCCTCCTGGGAACCAAGCTGATGACTATGACCAACGAGGACCCATACTATGCTGTTATGAAGCGAGCCCCTGCCATCGGAACTTTATGGGTCTGGAGCATTCTGGAAATTCCAGTGGGCGCAGCTGCTTTAGGCGCACTGGGGCCGTTGATCTGGGGTGTCTGGTGGAAAGGATACGGTATCTTTTAAGCCACAAAGGCCGGGGCAATGTCGCACCATAGTTCCCCACGCATTCTACCGCCGCGGTTGGAAGAGAACTGAAGTTCTAGCCCGGTAATTTTACCCTTGAAGAAGCCTGCAATTTCGCTGTCGATTACCCCTTTGGAGTTGCTCATGGCTGGCTTCGATTGCCAGGATCTTCTGGGATGATCCCGGCACGGGTGCATCTCCCATGTCAGGGCGTCAGCAGTCACGCCGACTCAGACCGCAACGGCGATGTCGTACTTTGCATAAGCGGGCTCGTTTCTGCTGGTGCCGCGAAACAATCCAATTGTTTGAAGACACGGCATACACCCCGCCGAGCTCTAGTTGGACGTTAGCAACCATTACGTTTCAACGTATTCGCGCCCGTATGGAGGTTGGAAATGGCACCAGCATGTACATACATAATGTGATGGCCGCTCTACTGAAGCACCGCTCGAACTCGAAGCTTAACCAATGTCTACCGTGCAATATGCCACATGCAAGGTTCTTGTCCTTCAGTCCTAACGTCACCGTTACGAGGCTGCGGTCCGAAATCAAATATTGGAGAAGAAGGGTCTGAACATAACTCGCTCAAAACTTCATGCCGGGCAGATCCATCATGACTTCTTAACTCGTCCCGTCACAGGATGAGGATAGATCCTCGAGGATTATTTATTCCGACTGCGTATTCGCGCTAATGCTCACTGCTTGAAGCCAGGAAAGCATACGAATGGCGAGAATAACACACTACTGTGTAGCACTCAGGGGTGTGCATGTCGTCGAGGTGTATAGGACTAGTCTCCCAATCCTGGTCCCTGGATAAGAATCTCTACAATGTGGGGCCAACGTGAGTCGCACCGTCACCCGTCCTGACTGCGATGTTCTCGACACAAATGCGGGGAGGTTACCAGCGACATTGGAGTTTGTGAGAAGGGCACGTCACTTCATGTGAGATTGCCACGACTGGGAAGTTCATTTGCGAAGCGAGTGCAGCACATGTCCGTCCAGTTGACCAAGATCTTGAAAGCATTGCAACCCGCGGTTGCTGCCCGAGGGGACCATGCCTTCTGCAGGTGAACGCATGGCTGACCTGGGAATGCGAACCCCGATACGAAGGATGATCGCGATGGGTTGTCTGTCAGGGCACCTCGTCTGGCATCCAAGGACATGGCAGTCCTAGCGGAAAATAGCGTCCTTGATCCCGTCCCGGCGAAAGGTGTATCTATATTTTTTGAGCTCGATTTCATGAAATCAGGCAAGTCCAGGACGAGCGGCTATAGCGATTCTCACAGAATTATCAAGACACCACCGCGGCGGACATGTTTGTTCGCTTCTTGGGCTGCATGGACCATTCAGGATATCTGCCGATGCAGTTCGCTCCAAGAGGATGATGCGCTATCCTCGACCTGCCCGTTTGGGCTATTCTTTAATTTGAAGCGAGGGTTCTGGCCGTCCGGTCTCTTGCTGACCAAGGCTGTTAGGTTCTTGAAGGATCAGCGATTTGCTTGTGACCGGAGGCACCTTTCAAGCGCCATTTTGCAAAGGATGATCTTCGAGGTCGAGGACGTGGAGGCGTGGCTTCTCCCAGCGCTGTTCACTAGCGAACCAAGGCTATCATGACGTCGATGATGAGGGGTTGACCATTTGTTGTAACCCACATATCCCGTGTTCTATTCATCTGGCCCAACAGGATTGACAATCTACTACGCTATCATCCCAATTTGCCCGTGGCGCGGGATACTAGATGAGGAGAGGCGGTGACCGATGCCCAGCGAACCGTGTCTATTGCCGTATCGGGTAACTGGCATATCAGCCGAATGATCGTCACTCATGATCTCGCACACTTTGATGACCAGACCGGATGCCGCGATACGATCGTCCGGCAAAGGCCTGTGATCAACATGGCTACACCAGAATGATTGATTACATTGACTCAGAGAAATGTATGATTCCAGCTCGATCTCGAACGATGTCACAGCACTGGACGGGTGGCTGGTGCGCCTGCGCCACAAGGTGGAGAGTCTGCAAGAACTATTTGCGCTAAAAGTCAATAGTGCGAACGTCAGACACCCATTCAGAATTCAGATCAGACTCAATCCAGAAGAAGAAAAAAGCAAAGAGCTGAGCGGATCGGTCGGCTCAGTTGACCTCGTTTCTGGGTCGATCGATAAGCTGTTGCTGTCTAGGAATCTTGACACGGGCTCATGGCGATCCTCGGTCAAGTTCCCTCCGCTGTTTATTCGAGTAGATTGATGGTACTTTGTGCCAACTCTAATTACATCCATGAACCTTGTCGTCTGGTCGAGGCATGCGATAAAGATGTCGATCAATCTATTCCGCTCAGTATGACATTAGGCTGATCTTCCCATCGATCAGATATCACACGATTGGCATTATATGACTGCACCCAATCGAAAGAGCCGACTCGACGTCACGGTGGCAGGAGGTGACCAGCAGTCGTTCTAGGCGTCAATTGCACCATTTTTGGCCAAATTCGAAAACAGTGGAAGCGAGAAGAGTCAAAACAGGATGCAGAGGGAAGAGAAGCAAGGGTAGTACTCCGTACACATGACGGTCTAGTCATGCAGAGAGGCCAAAGTACTCCGTACAATATACCCAAAGCGGCACGGCGAAGTTCGCCGTCGAACCCGTTACTCAATCGTATTGTCTCTCGTGCGGGTGAAACTACAGCCATGAATCAAGGTATGCGCTGTAAGCCAGTAGATTTTGTACGACACAAGGACACTATCAAGCGAAGGATCTGACGAGGTGTTCGACTTGTTCGTGATCTGGATACACTACCTATTGTATTCCATCGAGACTCAGTACTTTGCGAGCCTGATTGGCCATTTCGAGGAAGCATTTCACATGTTGTGTACCCAAAGTACCATTGTTTGGTTACTCTGGTCATTTCAGAACCTGTCTTTTTTAAATTCACCTGAGAATACGATATGCACATGCCTCAATGCCCATAAACCAAGTCCAAGATGCTCAACTTGAGGCCATGGCAAAAAGCGACGGATGGTCATGCATCGTAACCGTTCATATCATGTACTGATGCCTGAGGATTGCAAGGAAGTAGGTACCTTGCTTCGTGCATCGCGTTTCACATGCGATTTCGCATTCTGAACCAAGATCTCGATTTAGCAGAATGGGATTGGGCATTTGATTTTGGTGTCGACGGATCCTCACCGTCATCTTGCCAGGGCAATTTAACTCTACTCTGTGTTTTTGTATCGGTGAGCGTGAGCCAAAACTCTACACGACAATAGTGTTTTGTGCGCACTCTCAGGCCTCGAGTCCTCGAGTCCCTCGACTATGGTAAATAGACTGTATCACATTCACACGTATGTGTATCTACGTGAGGGGGGAATTTCCTACCTGACACATGCACGGTACACGCACTGTGCATAAGCTTATGATGCAAGGGGAGCTCTACTGCATCTCAACGAGAGTCAACGCTTACGCACCATGTTCGCCAGTGTTCGCAGTAGCTCGTCCACTTCCAGGCGGTGACTGGGGGACTGGGATTGCTGCGCCTGCGCCACATCTGGGACTCCGACTCCGGCCAGCCGAGCCGAGATTCGAGTGCAGCACGCCAGGCCAGGATCAACTGGCGATAAGTAAACACACTGGAAGACTAAGGTAAGCGTGCGGGGCCGCCCAGAACCAGAACCAGAACCCACAATGACAAATTCTGGTTTTTGGGGACGAGATTTCGAGTTTGATTGGTTGGATATACTTGATTTCAAATTTGGTTGAGAATTGGAGAAAGGTACTCTGTATACCGGAGTAGATACTGTTCGCTGTCATTTTAGCATCTACTCGCTGTAGGAGTAGTGCGACTGTCCAAGTAACTAGGTACTGTACTCTGTACGTAGGCACGTATATTCAGAAAGGTAAAAAAAAAGAACAATAAAAATCAATCATAAAAATCAATCCCATCAGCGCCTGTGCCTATGCCTTATGCCCACGCCTGTTGACCGTAGCCCTGGAAACTGCAAGAAACATGAAAAAAAAGTGACTGGTACCGTAGTGTGAACTACACGGCAACACGGCCCTTGTGCACCAACCCCAACCCCCCCAGTCCACTAGCGGCTCCCTTGAATCGCGCCAGCAGACTGGATACCATGTCGCGGTACGTGTTCATCTGCGAGAGCTTGAAGCGCTGGATTTTCCCGCTGGCCGTGCGGGGGATTTCCTCCACAAAGACTATCCCCCCGTCTAGCGCCTTGTAGCTGGCCAGTTGACGGCGTGCAAACTGGTAGACTTCTTCCGCTGTCAGCCGATTTGCAGCCGGTCCCTTGGCCCTCACCACGAAGGCGCGGGGCAATTCTGTGCTGCCGTCTTTGGAGGTGACGCCTGTGACGGCGGCGTCTTCGATGCCGGGGTGTTTGAGGAGAACCGCTTCGAGTTCAGCGGGCGCAACTTGCCATCTATTTCCCGGTCAGCACTAACTAGCCGCACTAAAAGAAGCGAGTAAACTTACCCTCGCACTTTGATGAGTTCCTTGGTTCGTCCGACGATAAAGTACTGCCCGTTCTGGACATAGGCCACATCACCCGTCCGGAACCAGCCATATGCATCTTTGGCGTCGTTGCGGCCCTTGTAGCTCATCAACACCCCGGCCCCGCGCACATACAGCTCCCCCGGTCGAGACTCCCCCTGCACCACGTTCCCGTCCTGACCGACCAGTCGCACTTCGTATCCAGGTAACAGACGTCCGATACTTCCGGGGTTCCCGTGCTCGCCGTATCGCGTCTGGAACACGACCCCGACCTCAGTCATGCCCCAGAGCTGAGTCGCGCGGGCGTGCGGGTGCAGCAGCCGCTGGAACTGCTCCATTGAAGGGCCGTCGATGGGCGCACCCGCCACGCCGACGTACCGCAGCGTCCCCATGTAATCTGCGATCGGGGGAGCACTGCGATTGAAAACGTGGATCATGGCGGGGACCATATAGGTCTCCGTGATCTGGTAGTGGTAAATGGCGGCGACATACTGAGTCAGCTCGAAGCGCGGGAGGACGAAGAGCGGCTGGCCGTAGCGGATGGGGAAGATGTGCGTCCAGAGCGACCCGAACAGATGGAACATCGGCAGGGAGATGAGCCGAGTAACTACGTAGGGGACATCATAGTTGATGCTGAGGTGATGTGATACGATTGCGTGATGCGAAAGCAGGGCTCCCTTGGGCAGGCCGCCCGTCCCGCTGGTGGAGAACATGGCGGCCGGCGTCGACTTTGCGATCGCCGGGTCATTGAACCGCACCCAGTCGTTCTCCCCATAGCTGAGCAGTTGCGCGAAATTCAGATACACAGCGTCGTTGTCAGGAATCAAGGCCAGCGGGCCCGACAACAGCAATTGGGCGATATGGTTGGGAGCGTATTCATCCAGCAAACACACCTGGCTCGAGAGCATTCCACGGGCGGCGGAGACGCTGAGAACGTTGGGGAGCGCATCGCGCGACGTAATGATCAGCTTCGGATCTGCCAATTGCAGGATATGCTCGAGTTCTTGAGGTTGGCTGCGAGAATTGGAGCCCATGAACACACCGCCAGCGCCGATGATAGCGAAAAACAGTGCGGGGTATATGATCTGCATGCATGAGAAATCATTAGTACATTAGTCCGCCGCAAAAGAATGCAGAAAGAACAAAGCTAAAGTTCCAACAAAGTACAAAACCGGAAGGAGGCGTAAAACTCGGTGAGAGAGAGCAGAGCAGAGTGGGTTTTGCAGGACTCCGTACAGAATTCCCCAAATGGACCAATACGCAGTCTCCGCGCTGCACATGATGAGCCTTGAGTCCGGCTATGAGTGTTCGTACCAGCAGCCGAAACTGACTGGCATTGAGCGAACGCGAGGGGACTTGGGCGTCTATGAAGATCGGTCGTCGCTGGTCATACTGGTTGGGGCCGTCGAAGCAAAAGGTCAACAAGTCGGTGTATACATGGTGAGCCTCAGGACTGGGACTGCTTGGACTGCGAGCTCCTGGCCCGGGAATTGCCGAAGATCGTTCCCAGAGTCCCATCTTCTCCAAGTATTAGACAAGAAAAGCAAAAAGAGTAGGAGAAATAAATGTATAGGAGCTACTCCGTAGTAGGGGGTGGTGAATCTGGGGGCGTCTTCGCTTATAGAGCCGGCAAAGCAAGTCTGATGAAGATGCGAAAAAGAATCTATCCCTTTGCTCCATGGGGAGACGCAGTGATAAATAGCTTGCCATTTGCATTTTGAATCTTCTATTTCAAATCTTTAGGTAGTTGTCACGATGAAGTGATCCTATGCGATAATTCCAATTTCCTAGACGCGAGATCTCCATGATTTGGAATTGCCAGCAGGCGTGGCGCAAACCCCCAAACACCGTCGGTATCAGCCTCGAGCTTAGTCTAAAACATCGAAACTAGATTGATAATCCCGGCTGCTGATTAGAATAATCAAATCACCTGGACGAGACTTTCCAGATCAGCGCCTCGCTGATCGTCCTCGGACCGACGCTTGTGAGAAGCTGCAGCGAATGAACACACTCAGTTCAGCATTCAGATCGGAGCGGGGTGGGTCAGTGAAAAGGAAAAAAATTTAAAAAAAAAGAGTCATAGAGTAATAGATATCTGGACTAATGTCTGTTCTTGGTAGTTACTAGTTACCAGCAAGGTATCCAGTGGTCTTAGTCGCCGTAGTGTTGATATTCAGACGAACATGTTCAGACCCAGCTGGAGTGTTCTGTGATCGTCCTGTGACTCCATAACTTTATCGAGCCAATCTCTGCGCACGAGTGGCCTCTTTTTCCCCCCCCATCTCACATCACTCCATCACTCTAGCAACTTCATCTTCATCTAATCGACTCCAATTTCCCTTTCAGCCGGTCCGTCACCGTCATTTCTTAGCATTCTGGCAATCCCTTGTATCCACTTTTTTCTTGCTGTATTCCCTGTCCTTAGTGTCCCTAGTCCACAAGTCACTCCCCTTCTCCAGCTGAACCCCAACGCTATCTCGGTCTTCTCCTCCCCGTTCTGGAATCCTTAGTAGTGACCTCGGCTGCGTCCACCAGTCATTCCATCGCTCTTGTTGAGTTTTGGGAAACTACTCCGTAGTTGCAGAAAGCCATCAAGGGATGATCTACATTCCACAGGACACCCCTCCCACGCCATGCTTGTTCAGATCCGTGATCCATGTCAGCCTGACGTCCGGTCGATCAGATCCCGGATATCCGTGCAGGATCTGCTCCCATTGAGTCTCGATGTGAATAGACGGCTCAACAAAGTGACTTTGGCTCGTTCCAAATTCGTGCCACTATCACCGTACCCACCACCCACGGGCTACAACCCACCGCTATACCCAGCCCGGCCAGCCAGCCCGCCCATTGGGAATGTGATGAAGTGATTCCACCAATGTCTCTCTGCCAGTGATCTTTGGAGTAAGCATCTGTGCGCTGAGATCCGCAAGTTCGCGTATTTGACGAACCTGTCAAGGGATCTGCAAGATCCTGCGTCGCCTGGCAACTCCGCCTGTCCGATGAGCGGTTCGAATCCATTATCTTGGTAATTTCTGATCCTTGGACGGGCTTGACCGGTGGACCATGCGAACGCCACTTGATACTCACGTTCCTTACTGGCGCCCTGTTTTCTGACCAGGATTCTTCATGCAACCTTGACCGGGCTGCATGAGCCACTCAAGTCTGATATCTCTCTTCCTAAGCTGCGCCTGATGCAGCCCGCGGTTCACCCAATTCGTCACCAGATGGGGCGGGTTCCCCTCCCTGTGCCATTGTCATTGGTTCCCTGATATACCACTTTTGGGAAAAGAGGAGCTGAGGCAAGGGCGTCGTGATGCGGCCTGGGGCTGCCCATTGGTACAGCCCTTGGAGGTGACTAGTGATGCGGAACGGAGCTCCGTACGGTGGTATCACATCCTCAGACCATGGTAGATGGCCAAAACAAAAAAAGCTCAGTCTCTCGACGGAAGCTTGCCGAGGTCCATGCATGCGGCACAGTGCCGTAGCGGATGTCACGAACTTTACGAATGGTCTAGAGACTATTCGATTGTCTAATGTAGGCGCACAGTTCGGGCAATGGCCCCATCTGGGTAGATGTCATGGCGAGTCAGGACTCAAAAGGCGCAGGGTGCCGTCATACTACCGTGTGTGTTGCTATCAAGTGTGGCCTTCACTATTCATACCTCTATACCACCGGTGCTGGCATCCTCCGCATCCTTCCATCCATGTCTTCATTTCACACAAGCAACATGTCGTTGTCAGAGAAGAGTGAAATCTCAATACCTCCCCCTGCCAAGTGCAGGTCTCACTCATCAAATCCCAGCAACGTCACACTGGTCGACGTCGAGAAGGAGATTGCCAAAATCCTCGCCGAGAAAAATGGCTCGTCGAAGGAAGTTGACCTTGAAGCGCAGGGCGGTGCCCGCAAGAAGAGACACGCCTTCATCTCGTCCATCCGATACACCGCCCTCGACATCTACCGGCGTCTCTTCTCCCTAGTTTTCCTCGCCAACCTGGCTGTCTTCATTGCCGTCATGACGGCGGACCGAAAGCTGCTGGCCCTGGTGAACGCCACGGCGGCCAACGTGCTTGCCTGTGGCCTGGCCCGCCAGCCGCTGGTGGTCAATGCCATTTTTGTCATTGTCTGCTCGATTCCGCGGTCCGCGCCGTTGCGGCTGCGTCGCATCGCGGCCAAAGTGTACCACTATGGTGGGGTCCACAGTGGGTGCGGCATCGCTTCTTTCCTCTGGTATGCAGGCTTCGTTGGCCTGATGTCGAAGGAGTACTGGTCTCCAGCCGAAGCGGGCAACGCCGCCTTCTCAATCCTGCCTGTGGTCCTCTCGTATATCATCCTAGCCTTACTGCTCGCCATCATCCTCGTCGCCCACCCGGCCTTCCGCATGAAGAAGCACGACTATTTCGAGCTTACACATCGCTTCTCCGCTTGGGTCGTGGTGGTCCTCTTCGTCATCCTCCTGCTCGTCTTTTCCGGCGAGGCCAGTCGCGCCGCCAACCAACCTCTGGGGACCTTCCTTCTCCATCTCCCAGCTTTCTGGTTTCTCGTGATTACGGTCCTCGCTATCATCCACCCGTGGCTACTCCTCCGCAAAGTTCCCGTCGTTGGGGAAACTCTTTCCCCGCACGCGGTCAGGCTGCACATGAACCACACAAGCACCACCTTCGGCAAGGGCATCCAGCTAGCCACGCACCCCTTGCAAGACTGGCACGGCTTTGCCACCTTCCCTGACCCCGACGGAGCGAGCTTCTCATGCCTGGTCTCAAGAGCAGGCGACTGGACCAGCGCCCGCATAAAATGCCCCCCAAAACACATCTGGAAACGCGGTGTTCTCATCTACGGCTTCGCGTACGCCATGCGGGTCTTCAAGCGTGTTATCGTCGTCACAACGGGCTCAGGCATCGGTCCCTGCCTCTCCTTCCTTGGCGATGAAAATCGTCCCGCTCTCCGGGTGGTATGGCAAACCCGTTCCCCGCTCAGAACATACGGCCGGGATGTCTTCAACCTCGTAAAGAAGCTGGATGACGACCCCGTGATCATCGAGACAAATCAATCCGGGAGAGTAGATATGCTCCCCATCATCCGGAGGTTATACTCCGAATTCGAAGCCGAGGCCGTCTGCGTCATCAGCAACCCCGTCGTCACGAAGAGGGTCGTCTTCGACTTGGAAAGCGCGGGGATACCCGCCTTTGGGCCTATTTTCGATTCATGATGAATCATCGTTCCTCTTGCTTGTATCAATTGCTTGTTATCAACCGATGTTTGTTTCTTTAGTGCATAGGCGTACGCATGGAGTTTAGGATGGTAGGGAAAACCTGAGGCTTGCTTTTGGCTGCTGTTATATAGCAGATGCAGATATCGGATCGGATGTTCCTGGCTTAGAGTCAGCTCACCTGACTATGAATATATGAATATCGATGGTTACGTTGGACATACAAACTTGGGTCATCCGGTAGCTTCACTGCTTGCGTGCCTTTAACCAGGTGTGGTCTAGACATGGATAGCTGTAAGGGTTACAAGTCTGTAATTCCCCGACGATCAAGGGAGGTGATACAGTCAAGTTATGGGATGTAGTCTGCTGTACCTGCCGCAGACATCACGCTACTGTTGTTCATCCCTACGAGTTGAGAAGTCTACAGGCACAGAGACAGCAGTAGCAAGCAAACTTAGAGCAATGGATTAGATTATGTACATTTGCACGTGGTCGTCATGATTGTTGAAAAAGACATAGAAAATAGCAAACGCCAAATGAGACGTGGGTATCATGCGAATCCATCGATGGAAACTTTTTTTTTGTTGCCAAAAACCACCAGTAGTAGGCATGCCACATAGGGCCATTAAGATATAAGAAAAAGCGTCATAACGCAAATATTGCTCGAAACTCCCTTTCCCGTTTATTGTATTGGTTTGCCCTTTTCCTTCATGAAGGAATTAAGTAAATCATTCCGTTCGTAAGTGTTCGTAACGTCATGAGGCTGAATGGACCGATAATGGATCCATGAGAATAGCAAAGGACGACAAATCAGATTTGAAGACACTCAATGTCCGGATGCACGGGAATCAGCAGATAAACCGCGGCTCCGGCTTCCTGATTCAATTGGCTCTGCAGTCAGGTCTTCGGTGGTGAGTCGACTCCGCCCACGGACAGAGCCAGCTGAGTCGCTGTCCAGATTCAGAGACTCCATCCGTCCTAGCTCTTCATAGTCGGGGAGGGACAGAGGAGATCCACGATAGTCCTCCATGATGCTGTTGCCATCGAGCATAGTGTATCCAGGAGGGCTTGCTGGCACGTCCTCGTACACAGGAGGCATCTCCTCATCCCAGCTGATGCCAAGCCCGCTTCTTTCAGTGACGTGCAAGTGGAACTGCATACGGAGCACCCGTGCGGCGCCAGTAGGTGTGATCGAGCGTGTGTTGCGGTTGGGACAGAACTCCTCAGCGACGATCAACTCAATCACCAGGTTGTGCTTGACCTCAAGGCCATTGGGAACCTCCAGGTCACACACTGGGTTGCAGGTAGGGTTGATGCTGGCCTCGAACTGCATGCTGATCTCGCCGCCTGCGGTGTCGAAATCCGTCTTCCAGCCATCCTTTTCTTCGTTATGGCCGATAATGCGAGTCTCTTGGTGCAGGACACCCTTCCCTTCGCCACCGATCTTGTGAGCGTGCTTGGCGCAGGCTGTCGAGACAATCTTCTGATGCTCCTCAATACGCCACATCATTTTGCGCAAACGCCAACGGGTCTGGGTCTCTTCGCCCTTATCCACGACACCGCTCAATGTCATCTGAACTGGGAAAGTGCCAATGGGATGAACGACAGATGGAAGTACGATGCGGCCGGTGAGGTTTGTCGGCGGGAAGATGCGGATGGATGACTTGTCGTTGCCCGGCAGTATGGCGCGCTTGATGTGCAACGGCATTCTGTAGGTGTACTCCTCGCCGTTGGTATCGTGTGCGCGCGCAGAAAGGTAGTACTCAACCTGACCCAGCGAACCGTTGCAGGACGCAGGCAAATGACCGGGGAACAAATAACTGAAGGGGAAATCATGCTCCCCCTGCTTGAGGATGAGCGATTCCGTGAGGAAGTTCCAGCTGGTCAATTCCTCGGTCCGTGATGCGCAGTTAGGGCATTCCCGCGACACAGGCTTCTTGGTAGTAATCTTCGTGAGCAGCTTCATATCGAACTTGTCCAGGGTGACTGTGTTGGCTTGCTCTGAGACTGTGATCCTCAAACGTCCAGAAAATAACGCGCCAGTCGAGTTTGCAGGGTTTCCGTAGCAGACGAGGGGTGGAGATTCGACGATGACGTCCAGCTTGGCGGCAGCGGCGGTGATATCCTCCCTACCGGAACGCTCCTTTGAGCGCGCTGATCTTCCATGACTGCGCTTCTTTTCCTTGCTGTGGTCTCTGTGAGGATGAATCAGGTGGTCCATATTAAAGGACAGGCGACGCTCTGGAGACCTCGCTCGATCAGTATGCGCATGGGGCTTCTTGGGAGCCACGGTAGTGGTAGTAATCTCGTTGACGGATGAGGTTGATGAGGAATTCGAGTGTGAGAGGAGAGAGGAATGGAGAGCAGCGGGCCGAACAAAACTGGAAAGGAGACGGCCAGGCATGGTGAATCGTTCTCTGCTGATTTAGACCAGCTGAAGGGGGGTAGTGTCAACAGGCAGGCAGATGCGCCTATACTGGAGATCAAGCTCAGACTTTTGAAGCTCGCGTTGGTCCAGTACTGTTGCTATTTGTCTGTGATATCAACTCAGATTTCAGTTTGTGGAAGTTGAGAGGCGAGGATGGCAATCCACAACATGACAATATTGCAATTGAACTATAGCTTGTATGATAGCTTGGAGTGTGAAGGATGTATGATGTGAGAGGCAAGAGTTGTAGAGCAACAATAGAAGACGAGGATAGTGGGCGACCAGCTCCCTTTGAATGAAAGAGACAGCCTTGATTTTATTAGCTCGGAGTCAGAAAATGGATATACAACCCTTTCTATTAAGATTTTTCTAGGAGGTTCCCACTTTGCATGTAACAACAGGTACCATAAATTGCTTTGTGACGCCTTTTTTTTCCTGAATTTTCTATTTTTTTTTTCCTGGATGGGCCCCTCCATGCCTCCGTCACATCGCCCAAGGAAGGCACAACCTAATGGGTCGCGGCAGGAAAAAGCGTCATAGTGGAGCTTACCATACGATTTACCATACATGACAATATTTCAGTACCGCCAGTTCGCCGAGCTAAAAAAAGTTTTTGTCTCAGGGCCGCAGTTGACTTGTGGCCTGAGGCTTTTCACTTCAATAGTAGTAAGTGCTGTGGTTGGTGACCCCAGATGATTACATCACGAACTTGTCTAGATGTTTACTATTATTATTCTACTACAGGTCTTACTCATAGCGGGACCGTTTTCAGCATATTGAATGTTGACTGAGTTCCACGGAGAATCTCTAACAATCATCAGGCGATCCTCTTCACGCAAGTACTTCGGCTTGGTCATCAGTTCCTTGATCATCGACTCTCGGACTCCTGTCTAGGCTCTATGTAGCGGACGACTTGTAAACACAAAGATCGGTGATCCATTGTCTCGCATCTCCCATGTGACTCCAACGTTCAACCATACGCTCAAAATCATTGGTATATATTTGCCCTAGCCAAGGTACATACCCCACAAATCTGCAACGACACCGTGGATGCAGATTCCATGGTGCGTCGGGGAATTCATGGACGCTTTCCTCTGTGTCCATCTACACGCTACGACCATGTCTGCGAAGTAAACATAGCAGACGAGTCCCATGCGTAATGAGTCACAATGCGGTTGATGGGCTGGCGGTTATCAAACCGGAAATACCGTCAAGTGGCTTCAATCCGCTAGACCAAATAAGTCGGTAGCCGGACCATGGTAGATCTTGATAACCTTGTGGAAGACTACGCGTATGAGGATACTCCTCTAGACATATGGACTAGAAGGTACTCAAGACAATGTGCAATTGTCATAACTGAACCAAGGCTGCAATGGCTGAGTCAGGACGGTCTAGACATCGACGCTCAGCAATTTCCAACACAATTGGTCCAGTATGTGTCTGGAATCAGAATTGCCACGACAACAAACACGCAAGTCGTTAAGGCGCAATATGAACAGCTAACTGCACTGGACCCTTTGGACTAACCACAAATCGACAACACGAAGAGAAGCATATGACTCCTGATGATGTGCTTTGTAGCAGGCCGATTATCCGTCCACCAGGCCCGAATAGACCGAGTCCAAGCCAAAATGTAAGCGCCTGACCAGGGGAGCTTTTTTAGCACGGCGCAAAATGCAGTGGTGAAGGTCAGCTGCCGTCATCGAACCATCACGTGGCGTCATTCAGTGCTCTGGCGGATTCTCGAGGCTGAGTCTTTGTACCAAAGTGCAAGAGATACGGAGGAATAGGAGTAGCTTAGTTTGGGCTCCCGGAGGCGGTCTAGCGTAAGGTTTCCTCTTACCAGCAGTGACCGGCAACGATACACCGGGTTACAATACAATACAGTTCGACAAGGCGTAACGCTAGTTGGAGATCCTCTGGGACTACGCACCCAAGAGGGGCAACATCCAGAGAATGGAGCGAAGTCGCTAGACGAATCTACCCGAGCTAGACCGCGTTAAGCTTAGCGCTCAGGAAAAAATGAAAAAGTTTTTACAGAATTTTCCTTGCGCTTGGGAACGGCTCGGTGAGGTTCCACATCTTTCCAGTTCTAGAAACCAGAGGTGCAAAGGGAGATTTCGAAACGAGTGGCCCAATTCCAGAGAAATAGAGTGGAAGAAGTCTCCAAATTGTGAATGGCGATGTTTTTTTTTTCTACTACGGAGTACTATTGTCACTTTTCCTTGTAACATCCATTCTAGGCTAAGTATCTGATATCCCACCGATGTCCGCGGAGGTCCAAATCGGATTTCCCCGCACTGTATGCAATTCAAGATTTTGCGGGGGATCGCATCATCTGGTTCTTTTTTTGCTTTTCTCAGTCTCTTACTAGGGGCCGGACACTAACCCATCATCTTGTTATCATCTTTCCACATTGTCTCGTGAGTTGGGATTGAAAACCGATTCTCAGATTCATCAGAGAATGTTTTTGAAGATATCAAAAGTCTATCACCAGCTTGGTCTAGACAACCTAGCTGTCAACGGTCAAGCCCTGCTCTGTGCGCTCTCCGTCTGCAAGGGAAAACTCTTCCCTGACGAATGGCCGTGCATCGCCGCCATACCAATTACCTAACAGATTCCTCTTCACCATCCCCATTGGAAGTCATCGTCCTTCTCGGTCGATTTTACTGTCAATGTAATCAGGGTTTATGACTCAAAAGCGAAAAAGATCTGCTTAGTTTCATCTGATTTCCGGCTAAACACTTGCTGAAGGCTGACTGATCACTCGTCCCGAGTCGCAAAAGCTTTGAAGTCGGCTCAGGATCTTCATTCCGAGTGATACCATCATACCCCGACTCAATCATGCCATCTTGTCGGATTGCTCACGGCAATGTGGTTCATGTCATCGGGGCTGATCTACGGTACCATTATTGATGCCGATGCTGATTTTAGTCATCCTGGTGCGTTCACTAACTGATATAGTCAAGATCCGATGGAGATATTGTATGGAGGCCGGTCCGGCGCAGGAGTTGCCCTTTCTGGAAGTCGAGAGTGACAGCTTGGACTGAGGCATATTGCCATCATGGTCTGAAACTTGAAGTGATACCATACAATTAGTTACTTATTCTGATACAAGTGCCATCAAATCATAACCACTATAGGAGATACGCCTTCGTTGTTTTCTATATCATTTATAACCGTATTCACAACAAATTCAGTTCAGGTCCATATTTCATACCAATGGAGTGCTAATCCCGACGCATCTACCTACTCTGTGTCCATACATTGGACAACCTCTTCGCAGTTTAGAACTCCCCGCGGGAAACTCCGACAGCCATTCTCAAGGTGTTTAATCGGATACTGCCCGGATTTCGCTTGGTGGTGGATTCCATTTGCACGACTTGGACTAACCGAGTGGATTCCGGTTCTCACCCGGTTCCTCGGAAATTTTTCATCGCGCATCACTAGGTCCAACCGGACCTTCTTATTGGTCTTTTCCCAGAAGTGCCTCAATTTAGTTTATTTTCAACTGATTTTTCACACCATACGGTAGACAAATTTCTTTTCGAATCTGCCCCGTGCGCCGTAAATCACTCAATTCATCAATCATCAGACGAATCTGGACCGTGGTTAGATGCGGACGGGACCGTCTTGTTGACCCTGACTTGGAACCATCAACACTTTCCTTCTGCAGCTCCATTGGCGGAGGACGCCGATGGCCTCTCGGAAGTCTCGTCCGTACGCCGTATGACAAAGCGATTACCTGATGAAGGGCCTCAGCACATTACGCTAAGATCATGCCATTAGCTGGAGTATGGGCAATTTCGATCAGAAAATTGTCTAATATCGTGTCATTTCTACCATTGTCTTCCTCATTATTTGGCAATTTTGATACTTATGTCATTATGTCGGAGACGAAGTCTATATGCACTTCGGATCTCAATTAGGAATCGGCAACTCGTTATTATGTCCTTTTCAGTCTCTGAAGATGACGGTGATCGTAGGTCTGCGTTTACTTTTATATCTTATGGGAATCATGCAAGCTGCATCTCAGTCTTAAAAACTCAGTGTCCTCGGATTAATTAGGTGCCATTCTACGCTATCAGGAATGGAACAAGCTCTCAATGCGCAGCTAAGACTGGCAGGTATATCGCACATAGAGAGTAAAGCCAGTATCCACTGCACAGAGACACTTACCTTGTATCTGAAGAAGTCAAGAGGCCAATGTCATACAACCACGTGACCTTATCCGCAGATCGCCAGGGGAGCGTATCTGGAGTTCCAAGAGCCAGATCGCTACCCCTTTTCTTTATGCCACCGTGTCTATTTGCCATTGGGCGGTCGACTCTCGCCCTTGCGGAATATCAGCTCGTGTCATCGAGTTCATATGCTTCAATTATCATTGCTGATGATAGCAGACAAACCATCAGAAGCTGAGACGGACCGGTGGAGTGGATGATGCGGAATCCCCACCTGCAATCCGCAACCACCTAAACTGACACTGACAGCTTTGCATTACATCAATTGAACCTCAGATTGCGGGGCAAGTCAATTGATCTTGCGCATAACTGAATATTTGCAGAGCTGCAGTCTCCTCAAATCCTCCTTACCATGCTCACCACGTCGCTGGTGACATGGGGTCTGACCCTCTCCACCATCTTCCTCTTCTGGACTCTCTCCTCAACCAGCTCGTCCCCCTTTGCGCGCAACTTCCCCCGTCTCTTCAACAAACGGATATGCCTGCTAATCGCCCACCCGGATGATGAGGCAATGTTCTTCTCCCCCACGGTACTGGCATTGACCAAACCAGAGCTGGGGAACCATGTGAAAATCCTCTGTCTGAGCAGCGGTACGCTACGCTCCCCCCGCGCCTCTCCCCAGTCAACACCCTAACCCAGATCCCTAGGAGACGCCGACGGCCTCGGCCACATCCGCAAAAAGGAGCTCCAGCAAAGCGCCAAACACCTCGGCCTCCGTGCCGAGTCCGACGTCTTCATCGTCGACGACCCCGCCCGGTTTCCAGATAGCATGACAGCCACCTGGTCCGAGAGCGACGTGTCCTCGTTGCTCGCATCCGCCTTCGCCCCTGATCTTGCCTCGCAGTCACAGTCATCCGCAGCCAGGAAACGAGGGGCTGGAACAACGGGCGCCCCAACAGCAACCATCGACGTCTTGATCACCTTCGACAAAGACGGTATCAGCAACCACCCCAACCACCGCTCGCTGTACCACGGCGCTGTGCATTTCCTCCGGACCCTGATGAAGGATAAGGCAGGGTATACGTGTCCCGTGACGCTGTACACGCTTACCACGACGAATATCCTACGGAAGTATATTGGGGTGTTGGATGCGCCGTGGACGATGGCGAGCGGGGCGCTGGGGTCGATCTTTTCCGGAGCGGCCAAGGGCGGGAAGGATGATATGCCGGGTAAACTGCTGTTCATCAGTGCGGTGGATGAGTATATCCGCGCGCAGGCGGCGATGGTCAAGGCGCATAAGAGCCAAATGGTCTGGTTTCGGTATGGGTGGATTACGCTGGGGAGGTATATGGTGGTTAATGATTTGAGGAGGGTGAGGGTATGACTTTGCACGATCTCCGTTGTGGGAGGTTGATTTCGATTGTATTTAATTGTACATTTGCACAAATGGGAATGAGATGAACAGATGTAAGAACATTACTTGACAAGAGAATAAAATGGACGCTGACATGAGAAGTCTGGTAACGGTGATGTTCAGGCGGAACACAAAATACATGTGCTCTGAACGGGGTATCTAACAAGCGTCTGCAGCAGAAGGACAGAACATCCACATGGCCCGGGTCGGAATGGATTGTACAAGAAAGGCGCCGTCAACACGAAAGGTCACTCAAGCTACAGCGAGAGGATTAGTCGTGGGATCAAAGATATCCTCGTCCGCACTCCACCCAAGCGGTCTCTGCGAGGGGTGTTCCGCTTCCACAGCCTGAGGCATAGCTCCAGCCCGGCCCTCCACCGCGTCGGCTTCAACTGCTTCTTCTAAGGCAGGTCTCCGTCTCACTGGGTTGGCAAGCCGTTTCGGCACTCTCGAGAACAACCGCTCAACAGCAGGGAAGTTCGTATATCGCAAGGCAGCAGGGTAGCACGCCCAGAAGAAGTCGTCGTCGAGTTCCCTGGCGTCTTCGTCGAGAACCAGGCCGTTATCGACGGTCGGCCGGCGCACTGGTATCCTCCTGTGTGTGTTGAGCAGGCGGTCACCCCAGTAAGTTTCTCCGTGGACATGGACGTCCCCGCTGCTGATCTGGAACAAAACCGACTCGGGGAGGAAGTCTTGCCACTCTTCGATCACGCGGGGAAGGAGTTGACGCTCCCAGGCAGGATTGTCGCGGCCGACCCAGCGAGGGTGTATGAGGAGAAGTCTCGCAAGGCGTTCCATGATGATCGTCTGCTGGGCAGTGTGCGTGCGAAGCACGTCGTATGTATGCACTGCCTCGGTGAATGCTCGAGACTGGAGCAGTTCGGGATCGACCCACGGCGGCTCCCGGGGGTCTGAAGCTGTCGCCTCCAATTGCGGTGGACCAAGGTAGCTTTCGATGATCGCTCGGGCAGTTCGGCGTTTGCGTCGGGTCTCTTCGAGAATTGCGTATGCTGACTCCATGTACTGCTTGAAATCTGATAGCTTGTCCTGATCCCACGCTGTCTTGGCCAGGAATTGGTACATCTCCATGGTGGGCTGGACGTGGAAAGGCTCCGACTTCATGGCTTGGCCCAGGGCCGTCAGGAACTCATATGGAACCTTTCCTTTACTATTGCGCCTGGCATCCTTACCGAAACGTGGGCGAGAAAGAACGAAGGACCGCTCGAGTAGCTCTTGCCAGACCCTTTCTGGGACCGGAATGTCGTAGGAGGTGGATATGAAGCTGACTGCCCGCATGGCTCCGGGAATGTCGTTGTTGATGCCAAAGGCGTGTGCGACAGCGAACAAGAGGCGACTACTTGGATACAGAGGTGATGAACGATCGTATTTCTTGGGGCGCGGAAGGTTCGGTGAGTCTCCCAGCGCCGCCAGGGCGTCAATGTCGACGTTCCAAACCGTCTTCAACACGTGCTTCATTGTTGCCGTGAATCCAACCCTGGAAGCCGCTATAATCACATTCACATAAGTACCCTCGTCGCCCGCAGTGCCTTCTTCCGTCATCTCGGTCAAAATCCTCATGACCTCCTTGCGGACACTGCGGCGGCCAGTCCCATAGCCTCTCCATCCCAAGTTTGGTTCCTCGAAGCGTCGCTTACGGTAAGCGAACGGCGTTAATCGCAGATGATACTTCTCCCGGCCAGTGTAGGCCCCATCCCAAACCTTGGCTTCCATGTAGTAATTGTAGCAATGCAAATCGGGGATAACATCGTCCTGACGCATGGCATGCCATACATGGTCGGCCATCAGCGCATCTCCGGTAGACCGCGCACAGTCCAGGAGATGGGTGTACTCTGCCAGTCCCAGTCTGTGACCCGCCGACCGTCTGATCGAGACGATCGAGGCAAGATTGCAAGCAAACTTATCGAAGATCCTGTCCAATTGCGGGTAACCTTTGACTGCTACGGCAGCTGGATGCAACGCGCGATAAATATCTCGAAAAGGATCAGTGAAGTAGGCAGGAGACAGCAAGCGAAAGGCTTCTACAAAGGTGCTCTCAGGTAACGATCCAACCACGACTTCAAATTTGGGATCGAGTAACGCGTTCATGACCAGTTCCGGTTGACCATCTCCGACAATCGAGAAGAATTCATTTTCGAGCCCATTTGGTACTTCCTTCCGTGCATCAGCATGGTCACCCGGTGACACGACTGTGCTCTGCGTAGATCTGATTGCATGAAAACGGGACAATAGCGGTGCAAGCTCCCGGTGATAACCGGGAGGTCTCTGATCATCCTGGTGATGATCGAGATGATGCTGCTCCAAATGTGCTGGATACTTAGCATCGACGAATGACGCTGGATGGGTTGCCAGGGACCGTGTCTGGCAAGGCGTGGGCCTGGGAGCGGAGCCTGTCAGTCGGGAGGACCCATAAGAGCGCCCGTAGCGGCCGATAATGGATCGAGACATGAAGAGCAGACCACGTGAGACGGTATAGTTCGGTAACATCAAGGCGGTTTCATGGAGCCGGATTTTGCAGCAATTTATCCTGATGAAATTGAAAGATTTTAGAGAAGATGAGAGATGAAGAAACGAAAGAATGTCAGGAAAGGACACTCTTTCAGTCGCGACAATGCAGGGCGTTTTGTGCAATGTGAGGGGAAATGCATGGGGTAAGGCCTCAAGGCACTCAATCCCCTCTTCTGGTTGGCCGCTGCACTCTTGGCGTGGAATCCCTGCAATTGTCTGTGCCCGCGGATTTTACCTACTCTCAGACTGCGGCATACCTATCTACTGTCGTCCACAACCATCACCAATTGCAAGCTAGCCTCTTTGCGGTGGTAGCTTTATTATCGGCCTTACCTAGCTGTCTAGACATGGCCGACACCGAGGATACTGGCGCTGGATCTGTCTCCGAACCTTTGGATCTGGTCCGCCTCTCGCTCGATGAGATCGTCTTCGTGAAGCTCCGCGGCGATCGCGAGCTCAAGGGTCGTCTACACGTGAGTTGATCTGAGTGCCGGTCGCATTTTTGCGCAAGGCTGGATCTGACATGGGGTTCTTGCAGGCCTACGATAGCCACTGCAATCTTGTGCTGGGTGATGTCGAGGAGACCATCTACGTGGTCGAGGAGGATGAGAATGAAGAGGAGACCATCCGAGTACGACTACCCATCAGATGGCCGATAGGCTTGTGATCGCGTTCAATTGATGAGGACATGAGCTAACATTTCGGTCGGCGAATACAGACAATAAAGAAGCAAGAGGAGATGCTCTTTGTACGAGGTGAGCTCGAAATGAAACCATACCCTCGATATTCGACCGCTATACTGATCCGGAACTTTTCTACGCAGGTGACTCAGTTGTTTTGATCTCTCCACAGGCGTGATATTGCGATACATCAGATTAGGAGGCTTGGCCACGACATGCAGTTCACCTGATGGAATATACAGCGGTATAGGGCAATGTAGATCCCTGCTGCTATATTTTGGGTGGCAACTACAGACACTGAACCAGACGATGGCCATTAGGTATCTCTTCAGTATTCTCTGCACACGGACAGAGCAATTTGCACCATTCATCACAGGGTGAAAAGTCGGAAACATTATGGGACAGGATATACAGGCACTTATGTCATAACCTTAATGAAGAGCCTCATGAAAGTAGCGGTCACTATATCGCTTGAATGTCTGGAAATAGATTTCGATCCACCAATAATATGGCTAGATGAAATCAATAGAAAATATGCCTTATGACACAGCTTTCATGTGGTGCAGCGCCGTGACTCAGTCGAAGGACTCCTCGTGGTCCCCGAGGCGGCGATGACTCGCTATCGATAAAGCTTCCCCAGTTCCCGCAACCAAGCGCATTCTTTCCCACTTGCCTGACTCAACCCACCCTGCTGTCCTGTTTCGTGACACTTCACTTGATCCTATATATGATTGATTGCTTGCGTCTGATCTTTGCTACGCCCTGGTGAAGTCCTCACACGCTGCCTGCCTCGAACATTCATAGTGGAATTATGATAATACGAATACGTGTCTGAATGCGCCACAGGCGACTTCATCTTTTGACCGATTGAACAAGTACAGCTTTCAAAATTCTCCATTAGATTTCCATTTTTCTATTTGCTCTGTGCTTTGTACTTTGATCTTTTCTTTTGTTGAATCCGGCCATGCCACAGGGTCCCAAACTCTCTCTCGAGGAGCGACGGAGAGGCGAGATAGTATGATTCCCATTCTTTGTCATCTAGTGACAAGACTCGTTGAATTCCTGCTAATTATTCACCGTCAAGGCCCTAAGTGAATTTGCAGAATATGCAGAGAAGCAGCAGTCGCATCGCTCGGCCCAGGTTGCCCCGAGCGATAGTGGCTACTCGACCGCGAGCGTAGCCCAAGCCACCGAGGACCACGCGGAACTCGATATTCTTGACCAACTCACTCTATCCGATACCCCGAAGGCGGCCAAGTTGAAAGACCTGCTGCTTGGTACGGGTGACGAAGCAGAAGACAGTCTGCAGCTGTTGGGCAGTATCCTGCAGGCCCGGATTGACGAGGGCCATGGGGAAACCATCTTCGACTTAGGACTTGAGGATGGTGGCGACTCCATGGGCTTTGACCTTGAGCAGTGGAATACGGCCCTGCAGCGTCTGCGAGAGGCGGCAGAGGCCCTCCCGGCGCATTGTCGAGTCCTACTTACCTGCAATGTGGGAGGCCCGGAGGAGTCGAAAACCAAGAATGACCGGATTAAGGGTGCCTGGGGCAAGATCCTGATCCGCCAGCCTGCGGATACTGTGGAGGAGATGGCTGAGATTAGAATAGCGGTTGTTGGGAATGTCGACGCCGGGAAGAGTACCATGCTTGGGGTCCTCGTCAAGGGGAATCTCGATGACGGACGAGGCAGGGCGCGAATCAATCTGTTCCGCCATAAACATGAAGTCGAGAGCGGTCGGACGAGCTCCGTCGGACTGGAGATCATGGGCTTTGATAGCCACGGCGAGATTGTCGGCAGCTCGCAGGGTCGCAAGCTTTCTTGGGAAGAGATAGGAAAGCGATCTGCGAAGGTGATCTCTTTCTCCGATCTGGCCGGTCATGAACGCTACTTGAGAACTACTGTCTTCGGCATGTTGAGCAGCAGTCCCAACTACTGTCTACTGATGGTTGCAGCCAACAACGGTCTGATTGGTATGAGCAAAGAGCATCTGGGCATTGCCTTGGCTCTGAATGTGCCAGTCATGGTGATTATCACCAAGATCGATATCTGCCCTCCGCAAATCCTGCAGGAGACCGTCTCTCAGCTGACCAAGATTCTCAAGTCCCCTGGTGCTCGGAAGATTCCCATATTCGTGAAGGATATGGAGGAGACCATCAACACCGCGACTCAGTTCGTCAGTCAACGCATTTGCCCCATCTTCCAGGTGTCCAATGTCACCGGTGAGAATCTGGAACTCGTACGGACATTCCTGAACATTCTTCCGCACCGGGGCCAATATAACACGGAAGCGCCCTTTGAATTCCTGATTAATGATACCTTCTCTGTCCCTCATGTCGGAACCGTGGTGTCTGGAGTGGCCAAGTCCGGGGTGATCCATGCTGGCGATTCGGTGCTCGTGGGCCCTGATTCTCTCGGCCAGTTCACCACGACTACAATCAAGTCGATTGAACGCAAGCGGATCCAAGTGAATGCTTGCTTTGCGGGACAGTCTGGCTCGTTTGCTCTCAAGCGTGTTCGTAGAAAAGAAGTCCGTAAGGGAATGGTGGTTCTCAAGAAATTGGAACAGCCTCCCAAGGTCTACCGAGAATTTGTCGCTGAGGGTGCGTTCTATTATCTGGTGTCCATATAAGCATTCTCGCTGACTCGGAACAGTTCTCATTCTTTCGCACGCTACGACAATCAAACCGAGGTATCAAGCAATGCTACACGTCGGCGCAGTAAGTCAGACTTGCTCGGTCATCGACATTGACCGCCCCTTCATTCGAACCGGTGATCGAGCTCTTGTCGCCTTCCGATTCATCCAACGTCCGGAATTCTTGGCGCCTGGCGATCGAGTTCTTTTCCGGGAGGGTAAAACCAAGGGCTTGGGGATTGTCAAGAGTGTCGGATACGACCCGGATCATCCTCTTAACCCTGAAGCTAAGACCAAGTGATGCATCACTGCTTGGAGATACGTGGAACTTGGTTCTGTCTTTTTCCTATTGTTATTGATCAGTTTATGTATTTTGGTTTTATTCTCGCGCCCCTGCAATCAGCCGTGCTCTTTGCTTGGGCCTACTTTAGCTGCATGTTGTTTTCCTCATGGATCATACATAGGAAAAGGTGCTCACTCAGGATAGGCTGCTGTGTATCCTTCCTCTGGGTTGAATTTATCTACCAGTCGTCATACATTTTGCGGTTCATACTGCTCTATTGATGCTAGTATGCTTATCCTATAAAATGACGTTGAGTGCAGGCATTAATACAAGTATAATTAGACATCCATCAAGGAGATTCAGAGACATCCATATTTAAGCCTATCATATACCATACTATTATTAACCCTCCATTCTTGGCTGCTCTTGTTGTCCTGTTTGACTGCTGCTGTTGTAGTGATGATATCACGTGGATATGACGTCAACCATCCCAGCTACCAGAGAGCTATGATGCCATCCCCCCAGTTGATCGTCGACGTATGTATCTCTGGCTGTCGGCCGCAAAAGGATTAATTGATAGCTTCGTCTGATTGAGATCATCGATAAGACCAATAGCAGCAAGACGGCAATTACAGCACCTGTCACTTTGGTGATCCCTGTACTTTGCAACAGCCACCAGCTCCACTGACGTAGACCGTCTTACTCTTGCCTTCTGAACCTGTTAACATAGTTACGATCTATTAAAGACATCCACCGTCAACTGATTCTGAAATCAGCTTTTATGATTAAGCGCCTACCACTCTTACACTCAATCTTGGCAGTGCTTGACAGATAAACTACCCACATTGAACCCTACCGACCTCGTCTTTGATAGGTAGACTGCCTGACTGCCTGCTATACACCGTCCTATCACCCCAACGCTCGAAGATGGAGTCTGTACAGAAGGCCGTGCGCGATGCCGCAGACGGCTTGCGAAACCTCGCTTTCGGCCCACAGCAAGTCACAGAAGCTGCTACTCAACATGGCGAGGAGCCCGTCTCCGGCGTCCAGGGTCGAGGAACGCCCACTGATCCATACGACGCTGGGAACAGAGATGGTGAGTCCCGAGCACTTTCATGACGACATGTTGTCGTCGCAGCGTCGCCTCAAGTGGCATTGTATGCTATTATTCAAACATCAGCGGCTAACACTGCACACAGAACAACCCGGCGCCCCTCAAACTCAAGACAACACCGCCGTCATCCCCGAGCCACTCGAATCCATTACACCCATCGAAACCAAGCCCACGGACGTCAGTTCCGCCCAAAGCACCTCGGACCAGGGCCCCGGAGCCGGAGCCGGAGCAGGGCTCACTACCGCTCTCCCTGTAGCTCCGCAGCCATCGTCCACACCAGCACAGGAAAAGTCGCAGTCGCAATCTACAACCCCCAACACCAACCTAGAATCCGGATCCGGTCCCGGCAACCCAACCGTGGACGAACCCTCGCCCGCACAAGAGCAGTCGAATCCCACCGCCAGCTCGGCCGACACTACCACCAGCACAGGAAGCTCAAGCAGCAGCAACAACAACGCACCCACTCAATCTGAACCCGAGAAACCTGCCCCGGAACAACGATCCCAGGCCATGCCCGACGGCGACAGCAGCTCGCAGCAGAAGGAGGACGGCGGCGTACCTGGCGATGTTGAGCGCGCCCCGCCTGCTACTACGCAGCAGGTGAGCGTCGAGGCGCTGAAGGGGCCGCAGGGTCCTGCGCCTCGGGATGCGTATGAGTTCGAGAAGGAGATGGATGGGAAGCCGTCGAAGACGAGGACTGGTTAGTATATGCCCTTTACGTGGTTGTGCATGTGAGATGTGCTAACGCTTTGTAGACCAAGATACGAATGAAAAGGGTGATTCGGGGCATCACCATCATAAGATGGGACACGTAAAGGAGCGGCTGGGGAAGGTGTTCAAGCATGGTAATCATTGAGATCGGGATACTGAGTGATTGGAGGTTCGCTTGGATTTCATTTGATTTATGAGTAGGGCTTCGGCTTAACGTATCGCGCTGGAGATTGTTATCTACCATTCTGAATGTCATTTATGTGCAACTATTCCTCGCAGTAAAGCGTAACCTTCGTAACAAATCTCGGGGAGCAATATCAAGGGGTATATAATAGCAGCATGCACTCAGCACTTTGCCGTGGTATCAAACAACGGTATTCAACTACTCAAACAACAACTTCAACTCCTCGATCCGCTCCTTCCTCTTCTCATCCTCTGATCCATCACCACCAACCCGCAAGCCCAACGACCCGGCGATATTCATCTTGCGCTCCTGCACGCGTAACATCCGTCCCTCGATCGAGTCCTTGACGATAAACCGCGTCACAGAGACATCACGCAGCTGGCCCATCCGATGCACACGATCAATCGCTTGAGCCTCAATCGCAAAGCTCCACCACGGATCCATCATGAACACGTTACTGGCAGCCGTGAGATTGAGGCCGACGCCGCCGGCGCGCAAACTAATCAGTAGCACGGTGGGGCTTTTGGTTGACGACTGGCCGTTTTTAGATGAGATACTCACCCGCGGCGTGTCGGGCCCTTCGTCCTCGTCTATTTCCTCCTGGTCGAAGGTCTCAGTTCTGCTAAACTCCGCTAGGACCTCGGCTCGGGCCTTTTGCGGCATTGTCCCGTCTAGGCGGACGTATGAGATGCCGGCTTTGGTGAGCTGCGGGCCGATCAGGTCGAGGAAGCTAGTGAATTGGGAGAAGACGACGGATTTTGTGTTTGCAGGGACGCGGCTGAGGTGGTTGATCAGGGCGTGAATCTTGGCGGAGGTGTGTGCTGATGGTGAGAGAGGGTTGATGCGCCGCAGGGAGATTCGGGGTGCTGGGTGCGGACTGCAAGCAGGGGTACTGCTGTAGAGATCGGTCTCTGTAGGGGTCGAACTAGGCGATTGGTGACGGATCACTTCGAAGATGTCTCGCGAGGTAACTGGTGCTCGACACGAAAAGCACCGAGGCGGCACGCCCTTGTCTGTTTGGTGGCGTATATAGTCCTCCAAGCATTTCTTACATGCGCTGTGCCAACATGCTGTGACAGCGGGATCGATCATGGGTTCTTCCGAGCAAATGGGACATTCTCCGCTGGATTCGGTTTGAATCTGCCTCAGGGCATGGGTAGTGAATTTGGCGCCCGGGTCCTGTGTCTCAGCCGAATCCGCGTTTTCCATACTGGCTGAGAAGCGGTCTATAAGCTCTTGCAGATCCATGTCGTCTTTCAGCTCGTTAGCGGCATCAGCCGTCGCTGCTGCATCTTCCTCATCTGCTACAATGGTCTTGTTACGCGTGAGGATAGGATGGCAGCAAGTCTGGCGGAGACGGAGGATCTGAGCAAAGATTGTCGAGAATGACTTGAGGAGCGTACCGGCTTCGATGTTGTCGTTGAAAGTGCGTTTAGCTCTAGTGAAAATATAGTCGTAGATTTCGCGTTCTTGCTCGGAAAGCTCTACTTCTACAATATCAATGGTCCGTCGTGGCAGTGGCACCAAAGGCTCCCCCTCGGGTGTTTTCATTGTCTTCGTCCGACGGAGGACCAAAGGCTCAAGGACTGTCTGTACGACATTGAGCGCTCGAACGTAGTCCTTGGACTCAAAGGGTACGGTGATGAAGGTCTTCCAGAACGAAAAGTTGTTCCAGGGTTCAACCTGTAGAAATCGCACCAAGCTAAAGAGGTCCTCCAGGCGGTTCACGATAGGCGTTCCAGTGAGCACCCATCGGTGTGTCGCTCTCAGCTCGTAACAAGCCCTTGCCGTCTTTGAGCGTCGGTTCTTAATGACGTGGGCTTCATCGAGGATGACGCGGAAGAAGTCCACAGAAAACAAGCCACCTTGAGTATTGGAATTGAACATTGCGAGCTGACGGGATTCCGACAGTACAACGCCATAACTGGTGATTATAATGTTAGGCGCAGCGGGATTGCCAGCAGAACAGAGCTCTTGCAGATTGGCGGTTTTGTCGGCGCCATAATACATCAGCACCTTCATCGTTCCCGGTTCTGACGCCTTCATCGCCTCGCTTTCCCACTGGGACAGGAGAGAGGTTGGAGCCACAACAAGGGTCGTGTTTGGAGCAGGCAGAACGGCACTGGAAGAGCTAGGCATCCTCACCAGCTCAGTGGAAGAGCTTGGACCCTCCCGGCTCGGAGGGACATTTCGATGCGAGTGTATGAGACTCAGCATTTCAATGGTTTTGCCCAAGCCCATTTCGTCGGCCAGGATGCCACCCAGGCAATGCTGTTCCTGTGCGGGGAAGTCAAGACTGAGCTCTCCTGAGTATGGATTAACGTAGAAATGTGCCAGTCCCTCGACTGATGGCAGATCTCTGTCATCAACGTCCTTGGTTGGCCACGTGTATTCCTCCCACAGAGGGTGCATGGACAGTTCTCTGCCAGACTTCTTATCTTTCTCTTTCGCCAGCATCCAGTGAAGTGCTTGCCTCTGATACTTTCGCAGGTTCAGCACAAAGCTTGGCGGAGGTTGAGCCTCTGGCATGTTAAAATCGAAGGACTGCGCCTTCTTGTATAGAGTATCGAGCTGATCTTCTTCTAGCTCCGGGGATTCTTCGTCTTCCGACGATTCGCTCGATTTGCCTTCTTTCTTCGTCTTGTCGTATTGTTCTGCAATCTCTGCTGCACGGAGTAGCCCTTCTTTTTTGTGCTTTTTGGTCATGTCGTTGACAGTTGTGGGTTGCAGACCAATCTCATCAAAGAGCTTCACAAGCGCCACCTGACGAAGTCGAAGCTGTTTCTCTTCGGCGCTTTCTTGCTCCTCGAATAATGCGGTCGACCGGTTGTCGTCGCTCATATTCCAAAGATTCCGAGGCAGAAACGCCTCTTTACGCAGATAGCACCACAATTGCAAATATATCGTATCGTTGACCCGCACCCTGTCAGGCGCAAAAACGCAAATACCTTCGAATTTGCAGATCTTCTGGTCAATCAAAGTTGAAACCCATTCGGCTGTCTCTCGAGGTAATCTTCCGATTTCTTGACCGGATTTGTTCGTGAATCGAGTCAGGACATCCCCCTTTTGATTTGTGATAAGTTTGCCTCCCCGGCCACGCTTTGATATCGGCTGAGACCTCGCCCGTTCAACGTTGACATGCTCCCCATGTTTGAGTAGACCAACGCCGCTTCTCGTAGCCCAAGCTCCGACCCCGAAAGCACCAATGTATCTTGAAGATTGCGGAAGGCTGCGGCGCGATGGAGCTCGGTTCGGTTTTTGATTCACCGTTGTAACGACTGTCTGGGGAATCGGTTCGTTAACTGAGGTGCGAGGAGTGGAGAGTGTTTGTTGGCAAGAGGCCAGAGGAGCTTGAGTCAGACTGCTGTTCGACGACTTCCATGACCCGTCGAAGTAGATGTTAACCGCCCGCTCCAGATCATCGCCAGAGGCTTTGCGAATTCTCTCAATTGATTCCGGGGAAAGGTGTTCTCCGATGATGCTAGCAAATGTTGCAGTGTCGAATCCACCTGAACTCTGAAATCCTTGGGTTTCGGAAACTGTCCTCTCCTCACTTTGTTGTCCCCCATGTTTGTTTGTCAGATCTTGGTCAGTTCGTTGATCTGGCTGAGCTTGTATTGAAGTAGAGTGGTTGAGGATTTCATGAACAACGGTTCCGTTTTTTTGTTCGTCTTCCTTGTGCAAGCTATCCTTCTGATTTTCTGAGCCTAAATCTGGGCTCTCTCCGCGAGACTCCTGAAGGATCGAAAACGAGTGGATGCGGTTGGGTTGCTGCCGTTGAACATCACTTCCCTCTGGACCAGCAGAGGAAGTCGTAGACGCGTCGAGATTCGTGGCAACCGGTGCAGCTTCGTTAGAAGGCGGGTGTGTATCCTCTTCGTCAACGAAAAATCGTCTTTTCTTTAATGGCGGTTCATTCAGATCTCCAAAAACCATTTTATAGATCTGACTTCGAATCAGATGGCTGGATTAATGACGAGGTGACGTTGGAGTTGAGCGGAAAAGCCATCAAAAGTTGATACGCCTGATCATATTAGGACGGGAGACGCGCCGAGACCGAGAAAGACGCGATGGACCGCTCCGACGTCATTCTTGATAAATTTATGAGCGGCATCAATTGTCACATTGTCGTCGATACGACCGGCAATTCACTCACATAGATTATTTTCCTTTTTCTCGGTATATTGGAGCTAGGGGTCGACTGCATCATTGAGATTTTTGTCTGCTGACAAGATATCTAGAAGACCATGTGCATGCCTGCAATCGTCTGAAGCAGAAACAACTTGGTTCGAAACCCTCATATAAAATGTCATTTCTAGAGGAAATTGCTCGTGCATGTCGTGCCAGGTCACGATCATGTCGCATTTCCCAGATTAGAGTACAATCACAGCAACGAAGGCATCTCACTCGATCAGCACCAGCCGCCAGTCCCGTCTCTGGCGCAGCTGAAGCAGAAGTCCAAGCTGCGCGGAAATACTGCTCGGATCTCCTTTTGTACGAGGGCCAGCTCCTTCGTTTTTTCTCGGGGCGAATCAAAACTCATTTGTTGCATATAGGAAATATGACCGGCCCTCCTACACCCTCAGCACGTTCATCCCGCAGAAATCGCAAACATTCTACCTCGCCCTCCGAGCCCTCAATGTTACCCTCTCCATGATCCCCGAGACTACATCCTCTTACACAATTGGATTAATGCGACTGCAATTCTGGCGCGACGCCGTCACCAAGATCCTTGCCGGCGCACCACCCAAGGAACCCATTGCCATCCTCTTGGCGTCCGCAATATCGGACCTCAACGAGCGCACACATGGCCAAGCCCGGATCAGCAAAGCCTGGCTGAAAAAGATGATCAACGCGCGCGAGCAAACCCTCACAAACGACCCGTACCCCACCATCGCCGCGCTGGAGACCTACGCAGAAAACACCTACTCGACTCTGCTCTACCTGACTCTGTCCTCGCTGCCAATGACCTCCATCACAGCCGACCACGTCGCATCGCACATCGGCAAAGCAGCCGGTATCGCCGCTGTCCTCCGCGGCCTGCCGCTGGTTGCGTTCCCACCTCCTCAGGCGCAGTCACCCACGCAGCCTGCCTCGGGTAACTTCGGAGGAACCAAGCAAGGCGCAGTGATGCTGCCGCTGGACGTCATGGCGCAGGCGGGCGTGAAGGAGGAAGATGTCTTCCGGATGGGCGGTGAGGCGCCGGGACTACGCGATGCCGTTTTCACGGTTGCGACGCGGGCAAGCGACCATCTGATTACCGTGCAGCAGATGCTGAGCAATCTCCGTGCTGGTCAGGATGTAGGGCATGATTTTGAGCATGCGGGTGAGGAGGGGCATGAGTACGTCGCGGAACCTGGGGCGGGCAGAGGCCAGCGCGACGAGTCGCCTTTGGACGAGGTGAATCGGGCGTTTGGCGTGTTCATGCCTGCGGTGAGCACGCGACTTTGGCTAGATAGGTTGGAGAAGGTTGATTTCGATATCTTCAGGCCGGAGCTACTTCGGTCTGATTGGAGGCTGCCCTGGAAGGCTTACTTGGCGTTTAACCGGAAGTCTCTGTGATATCGGTGCTTCTCATGGCGAGGACCTGTTTGTACAAGTTGTGTACGAGTATAAACAAAATATTATTTTCACCGTGTATATAGTCTCGTATGTACTGTACTATAGACTGCATGCGCCCATCATGGACCAGATAGAAGGCTCCACATATACGCCTATGCCCATTGCTGCTATAATATCAAGCCCCTTTCATGGCCTTTCGCTCCCGTCTCTGCTTCCTCGAGCTGGTGATCAATCGTCTCTGGGCGAGCAGCACCGCGTAGCGCTGAATCTTGTCCCGCCTGTTGTCAAAGCATTAGCATTATTTCCGTCTCGAGGATGAAGCCCACTTACATCAGAAAAATGGTCGTTGCGAAGACAAAAGGAACCGCGATCATCCAGAAGTAACTTTTCAGACCAGTTAGTATGTCTTGAGATTGACGGAACAGAACGAAACGTACGAATCGCTATGTTGGATTCCAGAGAAGTGCTCAAAGTTCATTCCAAAGTAACCCTAGCTTGCAGTTAGTACACAGTGAAATCCTCCAAGGTGCAAAGCTTGACGAACAGTCAAGAAAGTCAATGGCAGATAGAAGCATGTTACAAGCGTCAGCTGCTTCATGCTTTCGTTTTGATACGCTCCTGCAGGCAGTCAGCACACGAAGCTGAAATCGTCCTCGCAGGGGTATTACCGATTGTGTTGAATATCAGATCAATCATGTTGTCAGCAGCGCGTCTCATTTGATCGTATGTCTCCACAATGGTTATACAATGGTCCAGCGCATCCCCTAGGTACGTATGACACATGTGGCTAATGGAGACACTTGATCCACCCAAACTCTTGAGATTCGGCGTGGCTACCCCCACCTGGGGCAGAGCGTCTGAGGAGTTGAAACCTGACATTGAGAGTGGCGTTGCGGTACCAAGTTGCTTGAGACCGAAGCCAGGGGTACTGACGGGCTCTGAGCGATGGTCACGGAGCGCGTTGATGACCGTCACAATCGGCTGCATGGAGCTTCTCAAAACAGCAATCTCGGACGTTAGTATATACAAGCTTTTAGATTGATCCACATCGGGATCTGTGAGAACTTCGAGTTCCAGGTCACCGATTGCGTCTTGATAGGCACTGGTCACTGGAATAGCCAGGTCAATTATGGCGTCCAATATAGCTTGCAACAGCATGCTGGCGTCGCAGGACTGGCGCAAAATCGTCTCCGGTGAACTGAGACGACGAACAATAGGCGCCTCAATGTCGTCGGCACTGGTCTCGAAGAAGGAGGTGACCGTATTATCGGCATGCAAGAATAGCGAAACCTGTTCGAGTGTGACACTCAGACCCTTCGATGCTAGGACAGCGTGGCGTTCCATGAACGCGATCCTGTCCTCGTTCGGGCCTCCGCGGAAGCGCTGAATGCTGCGCGCCGTGTACCCTGCACTGGCAGTGTCACCCAGACTGGACTGGGCTTTCGACGAGGCTCTCCCCAATGAAGGGCGAGCGCTTGTCCCGCCAGCATATCTGTCGTCTGTCTCCTTCGATGACCGAAATGTGAAGAGATCCTTCAATGCGGCCACCACGAGCGATCTCTTCGTTGGTCGCTTCAGTGAATGTGTCTTCCCACTTGATGTCGAACTTCTGCGGTCGCGGGCAAATGAGCTTCGTCCGTCTTCTTCTTCCTCTTCAGAGTCGCTGCTAGACTCCTCCCTGAGCTTTACCAGTTTCTGCAAGGTAAGCACGATATAGGCATGATCCGAATACCAGTCCGCCTTCGTACGGTTTGTCGTGTTGATCATGTCCTCAATTGCAAGTCTGTGGAGGCCCTTATGTTTTCCCAAAATCCTGATCACATCCCAACTCAGTCCATTGACATTGATCCACCTGCACTGGACCCAGGGCTCCCTTTGTCGCTCGAGGAAGGCTTCCAGCGTGTCATTGTCAAGCTCGTACTGCCGCATTTCATGTTGCGAAAAGTCCACCACGATTATCTCGCATCTTCTGTGTAATTCAGTGGGTATGTGAGGTGCCCAATCGGCACCATAGGGGGGTGGAGGTTTGTTCGGGTCAATGCCTGGTTCTGTTCCCGGTTGCCAATTGGGATCATGAGCAACGCTGTCGGGATGATAAGAGCGCGCTGTGTTTGAGCGACGCACGCGATGTCTGACCGTATCCTGCGATGCGATCCGAGCCGCAGTAGTGAATGTTTCAGGCGAACGAGGAGCCACCCCCTTGGCGGGTGTCGAGAAGGGCGACGGATGTGCGATAGATGCCCGTGGATTTGCCTCTATGTCTCTTTCATCAAGAGCGACAGGTGACAACTCAATGGTCCGCGTATGATCGAGTGAGTGAATGCTCATGGTGACGAACGACTATGATGGCTTGTGCGCGAGCTAGAGGCATTCAAACTCAGAACATCCTTGTCGCATGAAGCCGGACAAGTCTTGATCGAACAAAGTGGATTTGGCGAGTAATCGCGCAAGGATATCGAAGGGAAGCGCACAACCCAAGAAAATGATCTTGAAAATATTATGGAAGCAGCTTTCCATCCCAGGTCAGAGCAAGGAGAAACTGTGAGCACCTCATCAAGATGCAGGAGGGCCCAAAGGAAGAGTTCATCGCTGGGATTTTGACTTTGTTGAATGCGCTGGGATCTGCTTCTGTGGACGACCAGCGGAGAAGCTCTGGACGGAAGTAACAGTTGCGCAGGTAAGATGAAATATACAGGAAGTTGTGGATGGCCAGCTTCGACGCCTGGTGTTCCTTGGGTTTCGATAATTGCGGAGTTGGCAATCTCATTAAGGTCCGCAGTCTCGTCCCATCCACGGATGCGGCGTGTTTAGGGTGATAGACTGGGATACCTCTTGGCAACTGGCAAATTATCGGAGCTGCATCAGCACATACCTAGGTAGTTCACTGGAGGTGATTCTCAGTAACAGAATAAAGAGAAATCATAAGATTGGCCTAGTTTATAACCATGGTGCTTAGCTGGTTTATTCCATGTTCATCCAGAACAGGATGGCTCTGTTAATACGTCATCCTGGACAGCGGAATGCCAATCCTTTCCTGACTCTGATACTCGACTTGATGTTTCCTTCAGTCTACGAGGATACACCCTATGGAACAAGTTCAAGGACAGACTTGGAAATAAGTCACCGAATTGGCAGCTAGTCAGCCCACAAGAATCAATCTCGCGGCCATCATACTCTGCTCGGTCCATGGAGCACTCGGACTCTTAAAGTTCAATTAAATCCACTTATCAGTAAGTCCATCGATTAGGATGTCCTAGAGAAATGATTCAAATATGTCATAACGCCTGCTAAACGCTGTAATCGCTCATCCCGATGCAATCTGGCCCGCTCAAAAACCACTAGTTATCCCTACGCCGGCCCTTAAATGCTCATGAATAAACCAAGCCTCGGTGATTGTTATGTGCCTTCCGTAGTCGCCTAGTTTCTCCGTTTTGTAACGAGTTTCAGTTGCAGTGGAACTAAATTCCTTCTGGGTATTGGTGCATCTGTTCGTGCTAAAGGCTTTCGACAGACTGGACAAGTGCCGCGAGGGCCTTTACCTGACGCATCTGACCGCTGCTCTTCGCTAAATTTCAGTGTATCCATTATGCATTTGTGACAGAAGAGATGCCCTGACTCCGTCAATATGTGGTTCCGTGTGCTACACACAGGAGAAACGTACCGCATACAGTGCTGGTGGCATCGACTGGGGTATCCATACACACAGGGCATTTATATGATGTCAGAACAGAACGACCAGCCCCTTGGTGCAAAGATTCTTGTGCCCGAACAGCATCTTCTCGCTGCTTTGCCAACGCTTTTGCAAGCGCAGCCGAGCCCTCCACTTCTGTCAAATCAATCTGTTCGATTGGTTCAACGTCTCTGTCGTGAGCTCCCGGATTAGATGTGGAAATGGTGGAAGCAGTTGAAGTGTCCGAATAATCTGCTGATTCCCCAATGCCTGCTGTCTCGACATCATTCACACGGCGGCGCTTTCGCGCATGCTGGTCTCGATCTGAAGGTTCGATGGAAACAGAACGAGCGGAAGGACTTCGACGAGCATGGGAGATACTCCTTACAAGTGAAGCCATAGAGGAGTGGGAATCGCTAATGAACGCTTCTAATATCTTGCCAGTTCATAAGGAAGGCTAGAGAGGTACTTTTGGAGGGGCGATAAACTGCCAACAGGCTTATCGCACAATATCACATGATGATAACGACAGAGCCATGAAGGCAGGCGGTGGATGTTTGAAGGATCATCTCTAAATCCGATCTCCGACAGGCATGACGACGGGCTTTCCGCGATAGGAAAGTCTGGAATCTCCGTAGAAATGTGTACCAACACGACTCATCTTGAATCGACGTCTCCCTAGACACGCTATTTCTACGCAGCATTGGCTGCGCGACACTATATACCATGTCATGGGGCTAATTTGACCTGGATTTTATGATCTAGAATGCTTTTAAATAGTGCGATCGCCCCCCGTTGCAGGGATGTTGTACGTCCTTGCTCCCAGAGGTTGCGCTCGCCACGCTTCACCCGACAACGACCGCTGCTACTGCTGGTTAGATCGTTCATTTCGGAACCTTCGTCGGGAGATGGTGTTGAAGCACCACGCCGTCGGTCTCTTTCAGGTACTTATATCCTCTTCCTGGCCGGCGCAAGTCGAGAAAAAAAAAATACATATACTAATCTTGCAGTCCCTGCATTGCCTAGGTTCAATGAGATTGGAGTTCAACAGCTGAGCGACCATGTCTATTCTCAAATATTCCCGAATCAAGCAAGATCGCCAGATCCGGTCCTAGTTGCACTGTCCAAGGAACACCTTTCAAGGCACGATCTGCTAGGAAAATCTCAGGATGCCGCGGAACCTATCGCATTCGACATGCCCTCCCTCCAGGGACAAACTATGGACGAGCACTTCTTCAAGCTGGGAATGGATGCATCCGAGCCCTACTTAACCTATGCGAAAAGCTATACAACTGTCAACTCGCCTCAGAAGCCGCGCGAATGGGTCAAGCGCAGCGGATGGACCAAATATAACTCTGACGGTTCTTGGGAGCCTGTGGACGCACCAAATGAGTCAATGCTCACCTTTGATACCGAGGTCATGTACAAAGAACACTCCTTTGCTGTTATGGCTTGCGCTGTGAGCCCTACAGCCTGGTATGCATGGCTTTCTCCCTGGCTGCTCGGTGAATCCGAGAATGAAGTTCAACTCATACCTTTGGGTGATACAAAGCAACCTCGGATCGTTGTTGGACACAACATTGGGTATGACCGAGCGCGCGTCCTCGAGGAGTATGGAATGGAACAGACTCGCAACTTCTTCCTTGATACCATGTCACTCCACGTCGCCGTCAACGGGATGTGCTCGCAACAGAGACCCACATGGATGCGTCATAAGAAGAATAAGGATCTGAGAGACAAGATTGCAAACGAGAGCAACTCTGTTGAGCTGGCTGCGTTACTCGAAAGCAAAATGCTGAGCGAAGAAGAGGAGGAATTGTGGGTGGGACGGAGCTCTGTGAATTCCTTGCGCGATGTAGCCAAATTTCATTGCGATGTTACAATTGACAAGTCACAAAGAGACTATTTTGGCGAATTGAACAGGGAGCAGATCCTGGGAAAGCTGGAAGAATTGCTGGATTACTGTGCCGCGGACGTCGCCATCACCCATCGCGTGTACAAGAAGGTTTTTCCCAACTTCCTTGAGGTCTGTCCTCATCCTGTCAGCTTCGGAGCTCTCCGCCATCTTTCCTCGGTCATATTGCCCGTCAATGAAACGTGGAAAGAGTATATTACGAACGCGGAAGCAACATATCATCAACGAGTCGACGATGTGCAACGGAGGCTAGTTGAACTATGTAACGAAGCTCTCAAGGTCAAAGAGAACCCGGATATTTACATGAATGACCCTTGGTTGCGACAGCTGGACTGGTCTGGCCAAGAAATCAAAATGGTCAAGGGCAAGAAGAAGGGTGATCCTCCGCGACCCGCGGCCAGACAGAAGAAACCAGGCATGCCACAATGGTACAAAGATCTTTTTCCTTCGACTACAGCGGACATAAACCTGACTGTGCGCACCCGGATTGCCCCTATATTATTGAAGCTGTCATGGGACGGTTACCCTCTGACATGGTCCGATAAATTCGGATGGACATTCAAAGTCCCGAAAGACCAGGTCAAAAAATTCGAAAACCAGCCAGTGGTTCTCTGTGATATGAGTGAAGAGAAGAACCCGGAGATGCGCGACGATAGGAAACATGTGTACTTCAAACTCCCTCATAAGGATGGCCCACAAGCACGTTGCGTCAACCCATTAGCCAAGGGCTATCTGCAATTCTTTGAGCGGGGAACGCTTTCATCGCAATACGCACTCGCCAAAGAAGCTCTGGAAATGAATGCCTCCTGCTCATACTGGATCAGCGCCCGTGACAGAATCATGAGTCAGATGGTAGTCTACGAAGATCAAGTCAAGCAGTCCGGGTCTACAGGTGAAACGTCAAACCGACTAGGGTTTATTCTCCCTCAAATCATACCTATGGGCACGATCACCCGGCGAGCCGTGGAGAATACGTGGCTAACGGCTAGCAACGCCAAGGCAAACCGCGTGGGTTCTGAACTCAAAGCCATGATCAAAGCTCCGCCAGGCTATGTCTTCGTTGGTGCAGATGTTGACTCCCAGGAATTGTGGATTGCCAGTCTTGTCGGGGACGCTCAATTCCAACTACATGGGGGCAATGCCATTGGATTCATGACGTTAGAAGGTTCCAAGGCTGCTGGGACTGATATGCATTCGCGCACTGCCCAGATCTTGGGTATTTCGCGTAATGACGCCAAGGTTTTCAACTATGGTCGCATTTACGGTGCTGGGGTGAAGTTCGCTGCCACACTGCTTCGTCAGTTCAATCCGTCCATGTCCGAGAAGGAGACCCAAGAAGTTGCAACCAATCTCTACAGAGAGACAAAGGGCACCCGCACAACTCGTCGTATCCTGAACGAGAACCCTTTCTGGCGCGGAGGTACTGAGTCCTTTGTCTTCAACAAATTGGAGGAATTCGCCGACCAAGAAAGACCGCGTACGCCTGCGCTCGGCGCTGGGATCACTGAGGCACTCATGCGGCGCTTCATCAACAAGGGCAGTTTCATGACTTCCCGAATCAACTGGGCCATCCAGTCATCTGGAGTTGATTATCTTCACCTTTTGATAATATCCATGGATTATCTTATCCGTCGCTTTAACATTGATGCTCGACTCGCAATCACGGTCCACGACGAAATACGGTACCTTGTTAAGGAAGAGGACAAATATCGAGCTGCCATGGCCCTCCAGGTCGCCAATGTTTGGACCCGCGCCATGTTTTCGCAACAAGTTGGGATCGACGATCTTCCTCAGTCTTGTGCCTACTTTTCGGCCGTCGATATCGATCACGTTCTACGTAAAGAGGTGGACATGGACTGCGTGACTCCTTCTCATCCGCACAAGATTCCGCACGGAGAAAGCTTGGATATTAGTCGACTATTGGACAAGGACCAAGAAGCATATTTGGATCCTTCGGTAGTCCCGGTCTCGCCTCCTACACCTCAGAAGTACACCTACACACCACGAGAGTCTGTGATGGCGGCACTTCAGGCCACCAATAATCCTGCTTTTATCAAAGCTCAGATTACCAAAGATGACAAAGAGCTTCGAGAAATCATCAAGGAGGTGACGAAGACCAAGTCTGCCACCGCTTCAAGCACACGCTCTGTTCGGAACGGTGCCAAATCGACCAACTTCCCTTCAGCGGAGCCTCAAAAAGCGGTCTTAATGGACATTGATTCCGGACTTTACCGCGACTTCCGGTTTCTACCACAGGGGAGCAGGCATCCCCATTTCAACGTGAACCGTCAGACATGGAAACCCAGACCGGCCGCTCGGCCTTAGTCTGAGAATCCGTCCTACTCTTTCCTTTCATTCCCTACGATCCTGTACCCTTTCCATGCATTAATCATGTAACTTCTCTTTTATGTTATCATCTGACGAACGTTCTGTAAAAGCATTGGTATGGCGTTGCAGTGGCTGCTCGAGATGGTACGCTTGGGCTTGCTGTATTCTACCCGAGGGGAACTGGGCGGTTATTTCTGTGATATATATTGATCTGTAAATACTCCTCTGTGATGCTACTAAACTGAATGATATTGAAACAGCAAAGTTGAACCAGATCATTATATTGTATTGATTTCTATCTATTAATTTACCTCAGCCCTTCTTCTCCCCGGATCCAATGTATTCCGCCTACTCAACCCATCCCCGCGAAGCATCGCATCCCCCTTACGGCCCAACACCACCTCCAACGCCTGCACAAGAGCAGTAGGATCATACTTCATCCCCAAGGCCACCTCCTCACCGTCCGGCCCCGGCGCCGTAATCTTCCGTCCGTATAAACGGAGCGTCTCGATGCCCATTTCCGCCAGGCGCTCGCGGTCAACCTGGGGCGTCCCCGGCCCATCAAGATGCAGAAGATGCGTTACGTACGAGGAATACGGCGGCGAAGGTAAGTGAGCTGGCCGACCACGGCTTTCCTCGCCTGCGCGGGTGATTGCCTCGACGAAATCGACCGCCGTGAAGGGCTGCGACGGCGGGCCGGTTTCCCTGTCTAGGGAACCATTGAGAATAAGGATCTTGTGGCGGGCCGGGCTGGTGGCGATGGCTTGGCCGACGCCGCGGAGGATGAGGGAGGGGACGAGGGAAGTGTAGAGGGAGCCGATGCTGTAGATGATGGCCTGGGAGTTGCGGAGGGATTCGAGGACGCGCGGGTTAGCGGGGGGCCGGATCTCCTGGCCGTAGGGGTTTATGTACCAGATGCGGGTGATGCGGGCGGGCAGGTCCTCGTTGGCTGATTTGCTGAACTGGATGTTCTTGTTGCGGAGGGTGGGGAGCGAGCCGGGGAGGTGGTCGTCTTCGTAGGAGGCGGCGTCCGAGGCGTTGGAGGGTTCTGTGTCCTCGAGGTCAGAGGCCCCATCCGCGAGGAGGAGGCTGGGTCGTCTGGAGCCTGGACGGGGCTGGAGAGCGGTTGCCTCGCTTGGGTGGGAGATGCTGTTCTGGCCGACGATGACGGTGCCGTCGGCGAGGGAGGCGGAGATGTGGTGGGAGAAGTTGGAGTTGATGGCTGGGATGACGCGGACGAGATCGGATTGGACGCCGCAGATGCTTCCTAGGAGGTAGATGGCGCTCTCGAAGCTGCCGCTGAAGAGTCGCGCGCCGGTGAGGAAGAGATTGCCGACGCTGGCCGAGGTAAAGTCAAAGGTGGATGAGGGCGGTCGTGCCCGCTTGAGGATCTCCAGGTTCAGCAGGTTGAAGAACGAGCGTATCAGCTCTTTCTTAGCAGGCGTGATGGTTTTCCAGAGCTCGGAAGTACCGTCCACAATGGACTGCCATGCTCCGTGGGCCGCGACAGCGTCCGAGGGGAGCCGGTGGTTGAACAGGGTCTTGATCGCTGCCCGTTCTGAATTTGGAGGCGAGTCAGGGATCAGACGGACCAATCTACCTGTATGTATTGTCAGTCACGGACTGGTGATTGCCATAAAGCTAGCTATCTTTCTTGAGGATGTTTGAGTCTTACTTCTCACATCACCGATACCAGGACCGCCAAATATTCGGATCAGCTCAGAGGAAGAACCTCCATTGTCGCTGATGGGGATGATATAGCTTAACAAGCAATCCTTACTCTCACGTATCCTGCTGAAGACATCGACGAGATTGTTGGCAGCGCTTCCTCCCGAGAAGACCACGATGCCCCTGTTGGGAGATGCGGTTGACATGTTGACTTGAGCCTATGTCGAAAGCACCGCTGATGGGCGCAGGCCCAAAAAATACTGGAGTTAAATGCGCTCTCAAGAGACTGAGGCCGTGAGACCACAGTGATAAGTCTGTCGCGAACGTATAGTTAGGAGACGTGCTATTTTTAAATCTCGGACAAAAATCGCGATACCACTTGCCGTATTGGGTAAAAGAGGCAGCAGGTGCGTGTGGTTTTACCCTTTTAGGAAAAATTGAAGCCAAACCTTTTTGACAGTTTTTAATGCAGTCTAACACAAGGATATACCTTCGGAGGCATAAAATACGGGTGAAACCTTCTGCCTTAAACGAAAAGCGAGCGCTAATCTTGAAAGTTCCTGACTGGCGGAAGTGGAAGAAGTGGCCACGGGTCTCGCAAGAGTTTGGCTCAATGCGGCATTTACACGGCAAGTTACATTCAGTCTCCACGACCATATATTGCCAAAGACTCAATCTTTTTGGATGATCTTATTTTTACTATGTACACATTTTGCCAAACCTACTTCAAGGAAGCCTGGAAAGCATTGTAGTTATTTACTGCAAATATCAAGCTTTGCCATAGAATGGATTCAATACAGAAAGGCTTCACAGAAGAAGAGGAGGGGGTCTCCACGACGAAATATCAAGAATTTAAACTGAAAGAATTCGCTTTGCTACACATCTTGAGTGCCTATGCATATGCGGCCCAGCCTGGAACAATGTTAGCCTTCGACATCATCGTTGAGAGAAATCCCAATGACATACCGCAATAGAGAACAGCAAGGTTCCTTTCATCAGTTGCCTGCTGAATCAGTTCATTGACAGTCGCTGTGACACTAAGAGTCTTGCTCAGTTTCTTTGCCACAACCGTCAGAGCCCGATCCGCTTCACTAGGTTCATTCGCTGATCGTTGATCTTCCGCAGCGCCTGAAATCATGGGGGGACCATCACCAGCCTCTTGAGCATCTTGCATCCTCTTCATCCGCAGCGGAGAGAGAGTCCAGCTGTACAGGGGGTCGTACCGAAGCACATCCAGGATTGTCATGATACTGTACGATTCCTGACGAAGTGCCTCGAGAGTAAACTCGCAGCATCGCCGGAAGACACCCTCTGTCTTCGTGATGCCCATACCATCAACCAGATCGCGCGTCAGTCGGAAGGGAACCACCTCGGGGACTGGTAGGACTCGACCTTGCTCGAAAGCCACACCCAAATCGATATGGACGACCTCTCCGGTTCTCTCGTCCAACAAAATATTATGCCCATGCCGATCGCCAAGCCCAAGCACATGCCCCAGAATGGAAATTGCCGCAGTGCTCCGAGTATATGAGAGCCTCTTGCTGAACCAATCGTCCGGACTGTTGAACTTCTCCATGAAGAAGTACCGCATGACCGGATGGAAATGCTCCGTAATCTGGCGGAATGTCTTAACTCGTTGTTCAAACGACCGGGTCTGTACGTCGCTGATATGTTTTCGGCACACATTGGGCTTCATGTCCTTGGGGTAATATCGCTGATGCGCCGGCATCAAGTAGTCATGCAGGGGGACGGTGTGCGGTACAAACTCAATGATTCCCGCATTCGACGTCAGCGGTAGGACCTTGTACGTACGGATTCCCAGCTTCCGCTGCTGTGTCGCCTGATGGTCTTTGAGAAGACTGCTCACTTGCTCGAATACTTGTTCCATGATAGCGTCCTGCCGTAGATCATCGTTGCCACCTTTGAACTGTAATGTGAAAGTCAGCTTCGCAATCTAATGGTGTGAGCACGGTAAAATGCAAGCTTACTAGTTGCTTATACTTGTGACCATCTGTTGCTACAGCGGTGACAATCTTCGGTGCGCTCACCCCAGATGCAACGGTGAATTCGGGATGGTATCGAACAAGCTTAGGAACATCACTGTAGTCGCAATCAACACGGATGGCAATTTTCATCGTAGGTGGCGGCAGCCTTTGTGTCGAAGCGTCTTGCTCTAGTCGTTGGCCCGTCAGGAGTTTCTTCAATGGCACCTTCGCACCACTCTTGACCTTCTCATCCAGTCGATCGACCGCGAACCGCACGTAACTGATATTCGCGTTGTGCACTGCAACCCATGTCGGTCCAATCCGTTTGTCATTTTTCAGGTAATCTACCAGCCTGCTTGCCGCTCGATTACGAGACAAAGCTGACGGGTCCTTTCCACCCTTGGACTTGCTGCTGGCGAATATTTGGTACATGCCATGGAAGGGATGCTCGGCGCAAATGCGGAAAATCAATGCAAAGAGCATATTCTGAAACTCGTCAGAGGTATCTTGGAGGCGGGATGTAAGCTGATTCATCAGTGGTGCGAATTTCCGGCTCGGGACCTGGTTGAGGTGTTTGGAAACAGCTTTGTTTGCAATCTCACTGTCCGATTTGTCGAGCCATAAGGCACAGAAGCGGAGTGCATCATTGTTATAAATGTCGCTTTCTTTGAGGCAAAGTAAATAGTTTTCAAGGCATTGTTGCAAGAAGGCCTCTCGACTGCGTCGCAGACGTTGATATTCTCGATCGTCCAGGTCAAACCACTGCTTTGTCTTGGTCCGATAGTGCCTCAGAGCCTCCCTTTCTTTGCCCTCTGCATTCTTCATCATCTCTTCAAGACCCAGTACTTCCTTTTCCTTGCGGTTACGTAGTTGCTCCACCCGTCTAAAGTCCTCCAGCCCGTCGGGATTCTGTAGTTGTTGATCGCAGAAGATGGCGAAGCCGTGATATACTCTACCGGCCTCTTCGGCTTCTGAGCGGTTCTTAAGTTCCTTAACTGCAGGGCCAAGGTACCCCTGAATGATAGCTTCTGGCTTCTCCAAGCGTGCCTCTGCCACATAATGGCCCTGCAAATGATTAGAAACAACTCGATCAAGCAAAGAACTGCCCACTCACGAGGGTCACAAGAAGCTCCGGGCGGCTGATTGGAATTGACTGCTTGTGTAGATCACCTTGATTGTCAAGCTGTTGAAGCATTCTAATCGACGCTGCCATCTCTCCTTGGTCCCATAGGACGTTGGCCAAATCGAATTTTGTTGCTCCTTCGACATTGATTCCCTGCACCACGCAGACATTTGCAAGCTTAGATAAGCGCACCGCAGACTTCAATGAAGCCTGTGGTATACCATGACTTCTTGTGACGGAAAGTGACTGGCGAATGACCTTGACTTCCAGTAGCTGTGCATCTCGGTCACTTAGTCCTACGGCGGATTTGAGATAATCCCTTGTCTTGATAGAGGAGAACAAGGCCTCGTGACATTTTAAGATCTCTCCAACCTCATGGACACTAGGTAAATCAGCCTTTTGTCTCGGACAGAGTTCCGATTACCTCGGACATACCTTGTTGTTTTCAACCAAGAGTTTCTTTCCGCGACCTTCCGCCATTCTTCACTTAACTCCGCGAGAGAGTGCGCGCTCAAGACATCGCTTACCTCAGTCACAATTCCCAGGTCTCTCATCGCTGCCCGGAAGGACATAGCTGAGCGACTCGTGCTTCCTAGCGAGCCCAATATGGCCAGGAGGCTTTCGTTGACGGAATTTGACACATCAACTAAAGATCTCGAGGTGTTCAGGCTTTGAAAGGCTCTAAAGAGTGCAGCGGACGGAGAGTGATTCAAAGGTGAAACAGGTAGATCCCATTGTCGCAGATCTATCGCAGCTTGCATCATGCTATCAAACGAGACCGAGCTTTTTGAGCCTTTGAGAGTCGAGGTCAATGAGTTTGCAATGCCTTGGAGGTTAGTTGAGTTGAGTGCTTTTAATAGACCGTGAGCGTCGGCGTCTCCCAACATCTGAATCTCGCTATCATACTGGGCACTCTGGAAAAGGAGATTTTTGAACCCGGAGCTCTCATGTTCCAAGGTCTCCATGACCGACTCTAGTGACGGGCTTTGCTGGACGCCGTAAAAAAGATCCGGATCATCCACATTTCTGAATATGTCATGAAGGAGATCAGGGGGAGGTTCATATTTCAGAAGAGAGGAGCGGCGAGATCCAGACACGGCCCGCGAGGCCTGCATCTCGAGAAACAGCAGCGCTGTCTTGGGTAAGCGGCATGTGTTTGCAGCCTTAGATGCCACTGCAAAATCAATTTCAAGCCACTCATCACGTTCTACTATCGTTGCTTCTTGAGGCCGCTGTTGATTCCGAAGATACAGAAGGCAGCTGATGATGAGACGGACGTGAGGGATAGAACGGTCATCAGCTTCGTGCAAACCTTGCCTGAAGATATCGGAAATGGTTTGCCTAACATTGGCCTCGCCGTCAAGCTCCGTGAGCAAAACGTCATGCAGAATGTATGGCAAAATCTGGACTGCCAATGAAGGTATGACGTGAAGAATGTTTTTCAGCGGCCCAATAACAGGATCTTGGGGAGCAGCCTTTATCAAGAAAAGCCCAATGCTGCGAGCCCAGTGAGCAGAGGAGATACCAGGGTTCCATCCCACAATGGTATCGTGATTCTTAGCCTGAGAAGCCGGCAAGGGTATTGATGGACACTGATATGGACTCCAAACTAGTGCCTTCAGTAGGGAAGGAGGTATGAGATCTCCATAATTCTCAAATCCTGGGGAGCCGGCAAGGTTGCTGACAATGAGCTGCAAGGTCCTTTCAACAAGCCCAACTTCCAGAAGGCTGCTATTTTGCAACATACTGCAAAGCACCTGTAATATTCTGGCTTTTGACTGGCAGAACATGTCCAGGTTTAACTTAGCCATTCGGGGTTCAAATAGGGTCGACTGCTGTTCCTTCAAAAGTTCCTCACTGATCATACCAGTAGCAGCGAAATTGCGTCCAATTACCCTGGCAGCCCACAGCCTGTACTCTCTTGTAGGACTGAAGTCTTGGAGAGTCCGATATAAAGCAACAGTATTTGCAATAGCGTCTTGCCCTCTTTCAACAAGGTCCTGATGGTAGTTGAGAGGGCTCTTGAAGCTTGCACAAAGCAAGGACAGGATGTGATCAGATATTGACTGACTCAGCAAACTCGTCTTAGAATTGCGGT